TTTGTGATAACTAGGGGGCCAGCAAGGTTTTCACCACAAAGTGAGCACTGTGCTTTTGGATGTATCGTTGGAAAATTTTATGATATTTTTGGAACGAAGGTCGTCGCCCCATGAGCCATCAGCACTCATGACCCGAATAACTCTCATGAAACTGGTTCACCATTCTCTCCTGAAAGATACCCGATATTGGCTTCAGGTAGGGGGCCACAGTGCAGACTGCAGGCAGCTGCACTCCTGTCAGCGGAATTTCCCCACTGTGAACGATGGCCGGCATCGAGCTGGAAAATCCCGTGGGGCGCCAGAGGCACCCGACGCACAGACATGGCCAAAGGCTGTGGTGATGGAATGGGCTGTGCGCGTCGTGAAGGCCAAGCAGGAGGCCGTTCACCTACTGGTGCTTTATCACGCCCCATTTGTGCCAAAGCCTGCCCAGGGGACAGGAACCTGTCATGTGCACATCCAGCTGCTCAGAATCAGGCTTCGGAGAAAAAGCCAACACCTAGAGCAGTCCACACAAAGTGTGCACATGGAGATGTAGGTCTGCAACCTGTCCCATGAAGAGCTGGTCAAACTGCGCAGCCCCTTGTCTGGCAGCCGCCCTTTTGCGGCCTCGCGCAAGGATTTGCCAGGAACCAGTCGAGCACTGTCACGAAGTTCCCATGCTTTCCGCTTTCGCCCTCTCTTCTGCTGTTGCCTTGCAGGCACCACTGCATCCGCCATAGCACAGGTCCGGGAGCCTGCTGAGCCGCCGTAGCCGCTGTTGCAATAAGCTCCAATCAATGAGTGTACAATTTCTTGACACAGGAAGACCCATGAAACGAATTACGTTGGAGTCAATTCCTCAAGCGACCATGCCAGCAACGAAAAGATTTAAATCAGGAGTTAATACCTCGAACGACCATGCAAGCATACCAGAACTGAACGGAATTAAGTCAGGAATCAGGAGCTACTTAATTCCTTTTAACTCTGGAAAGTAATCAACACCTTTCCTAGGATGGGCAGTCCCAGCCGCCAGAAACATACTGCTGGTGAGAACTAGCATAATTATTGGAATATGATAGAACTAGTGACCAGAACTGAATTCTGTCCCTGCTGTAGTTGAAGGGCCCCACTTCATCAGCATGCACAAAACACAACGGACAACGACGACCCCATGTTATGAAAGGTGGATCACCCATTCCCCCTCGCCAACTGATGTCCCCACGCAAACGTCTTCCACTCCCACTCGTCATAGGTTAAGTTCCGCAGGAAGTCGGAGCCTCGTCAGAAAGAAGAAATTCTTGGTCAGGAACATTCGGAATCCAGCTTGATCTGTCTCTCTGGAGCTTTTGAGGGACTCCCACCCAGCTGGACACTCTCATCAGCTTCAGGGCCAGGCTCAAAGGCTTGTCAACAGTCTGCCTGAGGGCAGTTTTGGGTACACCTCCCTGAATGCCCAGCAGGCCAATTTGAGGCCGTTCTGGCATTCACTCCTGATTCCTGTACCCACTGTGAACAGAAAAAAGGCTTGATGAAGTTCTGGCTCGATGCAAATGAATTTCTGTTTTCACCTTTGCCTTGGCGGTCGTGGCAAGCCTGGGGCCGGCTCCCTGGCACCAGCAGCTATGACACAAACCCCTAGTAGCGTCCTTGCTCCTAGCAATAAGGCCAGGAGCCCCTAGTAGCTTCTTGTTCGTCCTTGCTCCTAGTAGCCTCCTGGGGACCTTTCATTCAGCGGTGTGTGTGTAGCTCTTTCATCGTCCGTGCCAGCGTTGCACATCCTCGTCGCAATTCAAGTCGTCCAGCAAACTGTGCCTTGGTGATATTGATTTCCACTTTAGCGAAGAAAGAGGACAGTTGAATTTCCTACACCACTATCTTTGCGTGGTCTACCCGTCTATCTTCTTTAATTCTCCCCCAGCCGCACGGACTCACCAGAACATACCTGAACTATCCTGAACAAATACATGTGGATACATCATGATACATCCTCGTGGATCAAAAAGCGCACTTCGCCTCCCATTGACCCCGCCAATGCAAACGGGAATCCTCAAACACTCCCGAATGTCATGGGTGGCCATGGGTAGCCGTATGCAGAAGTCAAGAAGCTCGGTCACCGGACGGAAGCGCTGACGAGGGGCTGGGCAAATCCCCGGCCTCAACGTCTGGAAAGCATTCGGAAAACACATCTTCATGTCTTTCGCAATGAAATCGTGATACATTCATATCACAGTCAGACAGTCAATCACGGAGACACGGAAAAACACATGTTGAAACCCCGTCACTTACAAACACACAAGGCAGTTTTCAAATAGACTGTTCTGAAAACAAACACCGCAAACAGGCCCCACACCATGATTGTGGCCTGCGGCCTGGGCAGCCTTAGAGCACAAGTAGCATACAGAAGCAGAAGCAGTGAAACACAAGAAAAGACTGCAATACGATTGCCATACGATGGTCCATACGATGCCATAGGTCCTACTGAGCCATACATGTAGTCTAAGTGTCAACCAAATTTGTGCAATGGCTGACCCGGAACCTCTCAGCCACGAACTTCGGAAACCGTTGCCACTGCCACTTTTGAGCCGGGAATGTCTTGAACGTCGGAGCACCACCACATCGAATGGAAAGTCAGTGTGGGCCACTGACGGTCCTCACCAATTCAACCCTCCGAGATAGGTTGGAACTATATAAGTGACCCGGTTTCTGTCATCGCCCAAAAGCACGTGTAGTGGAACACATGCACACCTGCTGGTTTCAAAGAGTTTCTTGTGAAAGGGACTGGGGGCCTTCATAGTCACAGAAAAAAGAGTTCTCGAAATAGACCCAGTGGTTCTTGGGGGCAATGACCGTGCAGCACCAAATGACTTGCAAGAACGACCTTGGTGCTCAAATTTAATGGGACATGACGTAGCAAAGGAGCAAACAGCACACCTCGCTAAGCTTACTGCAAAGCGAAACATGCATGCAAAAGTCACAGTTGACATGATTAAGTTATATTGAATGTCATTGTAGCCATTGTGCAAAGGGTGCGCATACAGGTATCAGCTACCTTTGCGGGCGGGTGTCTGTGCTCAAAACAAAACTGATAATAATGCAACAACATACACACACAATAAACACATTGCGAAAAGATGCGAACCGTATGCATCTACAACGTCGTACCCATGTTTTCTGCAGGAAGGCAAGCAGGAACAGGAACATGCATCGTTACTGGTTCACAAGCTCTCCAGCCTTGAACTTGTCTCAACTATATTGTTTATTTAAGAAGATCTTCTGGCGCATTGCCGCTTACAATTCTCGTTCCCCTCTCATAACATCTCATAACCAGTCAGATGGCGTCATGAAGCGGTCGCGGACACCGTGGTCGCATCCGACGGAGTGTCAAATATGTCAGGCATAGATGAAGAGTCACGTACTGGCCTCAAAAGCAGCTCCGTGGTCATGCAGCTCATACATACATGATACATCGTAATCGCATTGTTGACAGCGAGGAACAAACGTCCTTGGTTGCCAGGCCTTGCACCGATCATAAAAGCACCACGGTCAGCCCCCAACTTCCAAAGAGCCACAGAACATGCCGTGGTGGACATCTCAGAAGTTCCACTCTGCAGTCGTCGGGGTCCAAATTCATGTCCCCAATTGATTTCCAAACATGTAACATATGCGTCGATGTGGCGCCCACCAAAAGGCCAAAAGGGAGAGCAAATAGATGCTACTTCAACGGGCTCTTCTTGCAACACAGTTGTCTCAAGGCAAGTGTTCCCTCTACAATAGTTGGCAATGCTCTCAAACAGCTTTGAGATCTTGCAAGCATTGGAGAAAATTGAGCCTGCATTTTGTGCCAATACTTATGTTGTTTCGTCTGAGCGTCCATACTTGCTCAGCAGGTCAAGGGCTCAATTTCAGCGATCTTTGTTTTGGCAATGGCAATCTTTCTTTGCGCGCGCATAAGACGCTCAGCTGCAAATTCTCTCCCGTCCTACTGCTAGTAGTATACAGCTGTCAGAGTCAGAACTAGTGTCAACTATTTTGAGCTTGATCCAGTGCCGGCAAGCGCAAATAGGATGCGACTACACCCAGATTCAAGCTCTTCTGGAACCCTGGTCGAGACCAGGCCGAAGGAAACAGAAGTTGGAAGCCAACCGGCAAAGTGTCCCCATCTGCCATGCAGGAATGCGACGCAAACAGGTTCAATGTGTCCTCAACGAAATGGCACGCAAGATGCACGTGGACGGGCCCAAATCTCTCCATGTGGCCAAGAAGCATCTCCAAGGATCTCTCATTCGTGTCCTGGCCGAAAGGCCCTGCCACAACACCATGAAAGCGCATATAAGTCCAACATTAGGCTACACCAGGCGCGCAGCATAAGTCAGATCTTCCGATCTACTACGCTCCTTGCGGCGCTGCGGCCACAACAAATGAGTTGGGTTGGACATCCTTGTGTTCAAACAAAGAGTGCCATCTCAGCGACAGTTCTGCGGAAAAATCAAGGGTGCGGTCTGAAGTGACAAAAAATGACTAAGCATGCAAGCTGCTTGGCACTTAACTTTGCAACAGTTGTCCATCTTGAGGCACTGGAAGTCGACCTTCCTGCGGACCACACAGGTCCGCATTTCGAAAGGAAACTTGCTCCTGCATGCTCTTACAGCGCGCGACTTCTTTCGGAGGATACATGACATGGGAACGCTCCCTGAGGCTTTCCCTGCAACCATCGCTGTCACCTACTTCGAAGTTCCAAATTGGATCTACATGTGTCTAGATTGTCTTATCTTGTGAATCTTGTTGCTCATTTCTCGAACACTGCCGTGAACATGCACACCTGCCAAAAACACGAAGAAGAACTCTCTCCCTCTCTCTCTCTCTCTTCTAAAGTTTATAAAGATTATCATTCCAGCGCGCATGCCGAAAGATATGCCAACATCTCTCTCTCTCTCTATATATATATATACACCACAACTTATACTACAAGATACAGTAAAAAGCATCACCTCTGTCCATGTCATGCCAAGTCAAGCCACCCAGCGATCTTTTCTTATAGTGAGCCCTCCGAGTTCTTCGAGCTCCCACCTGAAGGTGGCTACACAGTCACAAGTCGCTGCACCAGACATGAAGAATCTATCACACCAAAGGAAAAAGACATCTCCTGACTAAGTTCGAGTGTTGCGGTGAGTGTTGCAATCCACAAAAGAGATAGGAAAACAAACAAGATTCATAATGAATAATATATATATATATATCTTTGTGTGTTTTTGGTATGTAGCGTTGCAAACAAACATAGCCGCGCTCGGCATGTGCCTGTCGGAGCTGAGCGGCGTGAGCTGCGTCCGGCCACGGCGGCGGAGAGCTTTCTACTGGCCAGGTCGGGGTCGTTCATCATGAGCTCCGACAACTCCTCGTTCCCATTGGCTCGCAGTTAAATTTGCAAATCTTTGGATACCTTTGGTCAATCTGTGGCCACTGTCTCACAGCTCCTGGCATCCACCTCAACCCAGACCCCAAATAGCAAAGGATATTTGTGGGCGGCACCCTGCAGCGACACCAGCATGCAGGCGCCAAAACGCACACCGCGACAAACATCTGGCATGAATCAGCACCCTGCAGCGGCACTCTGCAGCGTCCTCCAGCGGCACCAGCACCCAGGCGCAAACAGGCACCTCTTCCTATATTTGAAGTAAGAACCTCAATAGCTCTCGCCATCTAGGGAAAACAACAAACTGTAAGCATCCAAAGATATTGGCCGGCAGCTCATGTTCAGCAGACACCACAAAAGCAAACGGACCAACATAGACCACAAACAAAGCAAAGTGTGTTTCCTGCGCGAAGGATTCGGCATGTGTTAAGAGATTTGGGCGAAAGTTAAGTTTCGAGCATCTGAAGCAAAATCATGGTCCAAGTGCTTTGAACACATGAAGGGACCATTTAGTCAATTTACCACCGGACATAAAATATTGATAAACATAGTGAGCCCATGTGAGCCCTGCAACCTGCAAGACACACAAATGGAATAGCACAAAGAACATGCAAGGGGGGCATGATATTATGAAGTTGTCACTTCATGCCACGTCATGCCCTTGCAGTGACATGGAGTGGCGTGAAGTGCTCTACTCTACTCCAACTATATACCCCCGACTACCCCTACTCCTACTACATCTTCTCATCTCTTCTGTTGTCTTCTATGCCCTACTCATAATCATGATCCTCTCTTGGCTGTTCTTTTCTTCTCATCTCTTCTCTTCTCAAGTGGCAGTCGATGCATCAATTGGCATCATTCAGTGTCACTCCAGTCCAACTAGCGTGGACTGTGGCGTGAAGTGGGGCAGAGTGGCGAAATCGAACTTGCGGAAGCTGAAGAAGCAAACAAAGTAAATAGCAAACAAACAAACTGTATCAAGGTCTCACTTCAAGGGATCTCTGGTTCATCTGGCCACTAACCAGTCACCAACTTTTAACATCAGCAAGGTGCCACTGAGGCATCTGTTGTGTGGATTCCACTGGCCACGTCCTCCATCTGCTTCTGAAGGCTTCGCAGTAGCAGCTTTCGGCTCAGGCGCCACTCCACGAGTGGTGCCACACCGGCCTCATCCCCGGCACGGATGACGAGGAAGAGGAGATTGAAAAAAACATGACGGAACACCTTTTTCATTCATCTCACCTGTGCTCATGGGTTGCGAAAGCTACGCGCACCATGCATCTTACGAGATCTTGCGAGCAAGCCACTGCAAGGCCAGACCTCAGTTGGAAAGATTGCAGGTTCCAACGACAACACTAGAAACAAGGACGCTACTAGGAACAAGGACGCTACTAGGGGCTCCTGGCATCGCTACTAGGAGCAAGGACGCTACTAACGACAACACTGTGCAACTGGGTTTCTGGCCGATCCTTGAGAATCGCCTCATCCTGTGGAGGACTGCTGATTGGCCAACGAGATGTGTTGACCCACGCCACCCCAATGGCCCAATGAATCTCCGGAGTGACCATAGCATGTGATGCACCTGACCTCTTCTGCTGTGGTTGGGTGCTCTTTCTCCAAGCCCCTGCGCGTCAGAAGCGTGAAGATTTTGGATTCCTTTGAGTGTGGCAAGTCATCAAAAAGTCAATATCAACTTCGGCCAGCGGAAATTGCTTCGGCAAACAAATCCTTCAATCGCGCTTCAGAACATCTCCCAGCCTGCAAACTTGTGCCACTGCGCTGAGCACACGTGCCTATAGCATCGTAAACTGTAAATGTCGCTGTGGCCTTCTGAAGCAAAATGAGCGGTGAATCATCATCGCCTGTGCAGTTGCATCATCATCGCCTGCTTCTCGAAGAACTGCGTGCAACACCTGGACGCTGTTGCGGGTAGACTCGAGTAGACGGGTGACATAGGTCTGTTGTGAATAAAAGGATGCAAACACAAATGCATAATATATATATATACAATATACACACATTCAAAGATATATGCTGTCCATGTGGACTTCCAGTGTGCCGTTCCTACCCCCAGCCTGCAGCAAAGAGACTTCAGGAGCATTTTGACGCAGCAGCACGCCGCCAAACTCCTGTGGGTCATAATGTTGGCACGAAGAAATCATCACATCCGCAAAATAAGAGACTCACCAAGTGACCTGTGTATGTGCGATATGTGCGATCCTGCCAATCGAAACTCGAAGACTCACAGTTCCAACTCAAGCAACCCGAATTCCAGTCATTGGGATACTTTTCTCCACCATTCCACCGCTCCCCAAATGCGTGTAAAAAATAAAGTAGAAGAATACTGTATAGAATTATAGAATGTAATGTGTAAATCGATCAGGATCTGAGTAATTTAGAGTATGATGTTGATATACGTTGATATCAGGTCACCTCGAGGTCCAAGGATGCATCATAGCCTGGTAGAAAGCTCAGCGCCTCAAATGCATTCGGATCAATGACTAGCCACACCCATCAGTTTTTGGAGTAGCAGAAATGAAACACCTGATCATATCTGATCATAAGCGGAAGCATTCCGCTGTCGCACACAGGTTCAACTCTCTCCCACCTTGGCGAAGGTCACGTTCAGGAAATCATTTGGATTCGCTGTAGGCACAAAGCCTGGACCGAACGTGGCACGAGATGGCTATTCCGAACAGCCAAAAAGATGCGAGATGGATGGTTTCACTTTGCACCATCGGATGAATACGAAACGCATCAAAATGGAGACCTCTGCTGGGTGCATTGCACATCGTATGTGTTTCAGCGAAGCTAGGTGACTGCCCAGGAGTTCGCACCCACGTTTCAGGCTGCCACCGTAGTAAAGAAGGAAATGCTCATTGGGATGCCTCAGTGCCATTCAAAGTGCGGTCAGTAGTGCGGTCGGAAGGGCCTAAACTGGCTGAAACGCAGATGAGGGACTCCCCATAGCTGTAGGTCACGGGCTCCTTTGCTTCCATCCCACGCAAGGCCACCAGGCACCTGATGGATTGTTGAGGTCCGAAAGCTGCAAAGGTGAATCAACTCCCGTCAGCCGTGGCCCTGGACCAATTCTGGCCAGAAGCACACAGCTTGTTCAGATGGCAGGAACTCGAAGCTGGCGGATGGGTTGGAATCATGGTTTCCCAAATCCTGGGCAGAGCGAGCATTGAGGCTGCCGTTCCACGGTGACATTCCAGTAGGTCAACAATTCCAGGGTGCAGTCTGACCATCTCATGTTCTGACGGGCTGATTATCTTTCTACATGTCTATCCATGGCTATCTGAGTGCCCCACCAACAGTGGCACCAGCAAACGCCGTTTCTGACTCCCCAAGTCCAAGCGCAAACAGCGACTCCACACATTGGCCATTGCCCAGCGAAAGTCCTCCGGACACATCGATGAACCAAACAGGACAAGGCGACCCTCCTTCTATTACTGCCTATTGACGCTATTGAACACTGTAGGTTTCAGTGTTCTGGTGTTCTAGTGATTGGTATCAATTGTGGCTCCATTATGCCCCATTCGGCAGGCCCATGTCCAAGTGTTCAGCTAATAAGTATATGCATTGGACATGGTAAGATCTTGAATCGCCAATTCACTCAAAACTAATTCAACACAACAAGACCACCATTGGACACAACGACAACTCCAGCCATCTACATGCTGAAGAGCACCACACTGTACTGTGGGGCTGCATTCTCAACACCGAGGGAAGCGGCTTCCTCCTCGCTCCAGGGGAAGTTGTCAGAAGTCGCGGCTTCAAAGGCTTCACGCGCATCCTGCAGAATTTCATAGAATTTCTAGATTGGACAGGTGGCGAAAGTGGTAGGGTAGAGGGAGTGACAGTGGCGAAGCAAAAAGAACTCATCGGAGCAGCTTGCTCTTCAGATGCAGCTATATCTTGTCTGACTTCACCTATCTTGAATCAGATTCTTTGTTTGCACATAGGTGTTCAGGTCCTCATAGCGATCTTCCAGCCAAAAGAACGTACCACCAGCCTGCAGTTCCACCATGCACCCTTCATACATCGACCATGCAGTTCAGAATCGCTTGGGGCCCAAAAGAGAACTGTTCACAACAGCACTACACGCGCATCAGTGCATCCCCTCGCTGCAGGATTCGATGTGCTCTTTCAGCATCTTCAGTTCAGTCTGCCATGCAATGGTGAAGGAACCTGTAAGAAACGAGTTAAGCCCAGTCCCCCTGCCCTCTAGCAAGCAGTGTGAAAACATACATACTTTTAAACACCTGGTCATTGAGTGGCATTGTTGACTGCAAAGTTCAACTGGAAAAACTTACCTTCACTTCGAAGTCTTCATCTTGAGCTTCTTCCAGCTCCTCAAGTGTCAAGATGTGTTTTCCTTTCCCAAGACTGCTGAAAATCATCAACTGCGAATTTTAACGACAACGGCAAGGGTGCCGACCTCCTCTTCCAGGTCTTTGGGAAGAAGTAGGGCTTCAGGCCAAGTACCTGAGACGCGCATGGCGCATGAGTCGAAGAGTGGAGCCAACACGAACTGGGCACCAACCGAGTTCTTCTTACAATGCCATAGAAAAAGGTAGCTAATGGCGACGGCCTCCACCCTACTAGCGATGGCCAGCAACCTAGTAGCAATGGCCTCCAACCTGGTAGCGGTTCCTGCTTGAATGCCAATGACGTAAAGGCATCTCTTTGATGCATTTGGCTCAAAGCATCTTTAAGTGCATTGGCTGAAATGCCAACCCCATGCAAACTCCATGCGCCCAAGTGCTCAAAAATGTGGCCCACTCAGGATCAGATCGCCGCTCCAGCACTCCAAGTGCAAGCTGGACGTTCCAAGGCCTCAAAGGTGTCGGTATATCGCCCCCACTGCTCGGCTTCGGCCGCAAAGTGTTCAAACAGTAACCACAAAATAGCTTTGGAAAGTAAAGCATTTCTTTAGCGAACTCTTGCCGCGCATTCTACATCGTTCTTCGGCAAAGGCGCAAGTCCTTGGCCCACGCTGGCCCGGCTGACACAGGAGCATCAGCAGCTCCTCACCACTCAATTCAGTGCATTTTTCAAAGAGTACTCGAATGAGACATGATATTACAGGCGAATGCATGCACTTACACTGTCAAGTTTGAGTGGAAAAAAACCTCTCCTTTGGATTCCTTTAGTAGTCCTTTTTGATTTCGAAACCCAACTAGTCACATGGGAGGCAATAAAATTGTTTTGGAAAATTACGCCCTGAATAGTTTTGTGGTAGGGAATGTTAAGCAGTTTCACGCCCAGGATGTGTTTAAAAGATCTGTAGATCTGTTTGTATGTTTTCGTTTTGCTACTGCTGCTCTTTAAGATCCTTGCTTAACTCTTCTGAAGTTTGCTTGGTTCGTGGAACTCTGACCTGAAAACTGGGTAGCACGCAAGCCCAGAGAAAGTGAATAACAAAAAGTATTAATTCTTTAGGGGGTGGGATTACTAAGCAAACTTGAAGCCCTAAAGGGAAAAACCCCTACTACACTACTACAGCTGCTGTTGCTGCTACTACTACTGACTACTACTACCACTTTGTTGCGCCTACCACTACTACTACTGCTGCTGCTGCTGCTACTACTAGAACTACGACGACGACGACTACTACTACTCCTCCTCCTGCTGCTGGTGCTGCGACGACGACGACGACGACTGGCACTACCGCCACCACCACTACTAATCCTACTGGTGCTGCTACGACTGCGACTGGCACTACTACCACCACCACTGCTACAGTAACTAATACTTTTGGCGGACTTGATTCTATTCAGCCCCCCTCGATTGTTTGCTAGGGGGCGGTTTCTACTAATTAATTAAGATCGAACATTACATGACCTTATTTGTGTACAGTACATTTCAATTGATGTTATCAATAGGAAATTATCCATCTTGGAGCCGTACACTACTTGTGTAAAGTGCACCAAAACCTTTGCCGAAGCGTCAATTTGAATTGTAAAGCGTGGAAGTAAGCCGCTAGTGGAAAGAGGTCTCAGCCAAAGCATGGGAGTCTCGGCCAATGTTGTTTTCACTTGGATTGTAATGATTGCGCTAGGTCACAGGATGTTCAATGTTCCCTAGAACTATGTCACCTGGCCAGATTTGAGGGCACCTGGGCTGCAGCCATCTGCCAATGTCCACTTCAGAGGGACCTGAGGGGCATGACCAAAATTTCCATCAAAGGAGTCTACTGGCAGTTAATGGTTCACCTGTCTGCTCCTTATGCGCACACTCATCCCAGCCTTCAAAATAACATCCCCTTTCTTGACCGGCTTGTTCACAGCCAGCCCTCGCAAACCATTGACTTTTTGGCCTGCCATTTGACAGGTCAGCCGAATTGCTGACCAATTTCACGAATGAAGTACGCATAACTGCCGCATAACTACACTAATTATTGTGATTCCTCACTACTGTAGCGCACTTGCATTCCTTAGTTTATCGTGGTTCCTCTATGTCAGAAGCTGAACGGTTGAAGTGTTCTTTATCGCCTTCCACGCAGCCATCCCCGCCACGTTCAGAGAGCCACTGCCACAAGGGCTGAGTGAAGCAATATGGCCCTGCCACCAATGCCAACCCTAGGCAAACCAAGGGTCTACATCGCCTCATGGCAAGTTTCACACTGAGGCTGACAGGATCACCTGTGTCTGTCTGTTCGCTCCTGCAATTCGGCACACGTTGAACCAAGTGCTTTCCTGCATTGTTGACATGCTGCCGTTGGGCGTGGTTTGCGTCCATAGAAGGTTTGGAGCTATTGTGCCTAGATCGACCCCGATTGTGTGAATTCACATCCCACACCTGGGGATTGCTACATTGCTGCTGTTTGCATATGTTTGTGGGAATGAGGTTCTTCTGGCAAAATCTTGCGAATCGAAACCTGGGCTGGCCAGCTAAAACAGCCAAACCAAGTTGGTCAAACAACATACCACCAGGCAAAAATCCAAAAATATCAGGGACCGACCGGTCAATTCCATCCTGTAGAATGCACAACGCGTTGCACGGCCTTCGTTCACCCGTCGGCTTGCAGTTCTCTGACGGCAACACATGGCAACACGGTGCTGCCTTTTTGGTTCTCGGGACCCGTCGAGACAGCTAATCGCCTTTAGCGTGTTCAGCTGCTGTGGCTGCGCCGTGTCTAAGAAAGATCACACGAGTCCGTTTTATCAGTTCTATTAGGTTGGAGGCCATTGCTATTAGGTTGGAGGCCATCGCTAGCTAGTAGGCGGAGGCCCTCGCTCTTAGGGTTGGAGGCCATCTCCGATCCTTCTTAGAGCCATCTCAAACTTGGTGAGCTGATATGAGCTGATTGTCCAGAACCCTAAAGAACAAAGCAGTTCCATATGGAATGAAGCCATGAGGGCTTGAATCACACAACAACAGGGCGCGTTGTTCCACACAGCAGGTACAGTAATTGGAAGCAATATCATTTGCCACAGTTTCCCCGTCACAGTGGACGGGACGACCTTGCCTGAAGTCGCCGCCTAAAGGCAAATCTTCTGCGAACAGTGCATCGACTGCCAATCCGTGGCTCACACGGGTGACAGGTGAGAATCATACAAGTGTGTCCGGCCAATGCCACTCTACTACTTCAGTATCAAACTGTCATCATGTGAGTCAATGAGGGTTGGTTCCAGGAGACCCGCAAGAAACAAGATCTGCGTTTCAAACATTTGTGCGGCGATGTGCGGTATAGTTTTGGAGTGTTGGAAACCAACATCCCGACCTGTTCGATGGACACCCGCGGGTCTCCGACCCCCATCCTAATTCGTGCCAAGCGTCTTTGAGTCTGTGGCTGGAAAAGGGGACCCTTCAGCTGACGCTGTGAAAATTCCAAAAGGACCAACACTGCCCAACTTCAAAGTATATAAATAAACTGTGATGGTGAGATGATTTGGAAGGGTGAAGTCATTGTATCACCTGTCAACGGTTTCCTAAAGCTACTCTTGAAGGTGGTCCATCCGGTGCATATTTACCAACGACCTACTGACCTACTACTGCATCATCTGCCTCACTTGTCTGTCCTGGCAGCACACCACGCCGCGTCACGGACTGGGCATGGTACATTGCCCTTCTGCAGGGATACTTTGATATTGCGTTCGGTACCTCAACACGTGACGTTATAACGCATGGACTAGCGCATGGGTTTGCGTATCAAACCGCAACGCAACACTGGAATTAATGCGTTGTTCCTACTCTAACACACTATTGGAGTACGAAGTTGCGCACACAATTCATGGCAACCTTTAGTAAAATGCACTAAAAGGCAACAGATTGATGCGGGTTGAAATGAACGCTGCGGTGGCTATGTTGGTCCTGCTGGACTGGCACACAGCTCTACATCTGCCACACAATACGCATGAATTCATTCATATTAGGATTGAAACACATGCATATAATACTGTAAATAATGCATGAGTTCTTGCTTGTTTGATTTTCGTTCAACACCTTTTGCCTTTTGCCCTGACTAATGCAAAACAAAGGTGTTCCAAACAGAAATCGGTATGCATGCTATATAAAGCCACCTGAATCTTCAACGCCTTTCTTTACCTATACATCCCCATACGGTGTGCCACCACTGGCTCAGTCCCATGCCAACACAACACGCGAAGGCCACCAAGCAAGCAAGTTGTCACACTGGAAAAAACACCTGATCATGGCCAAATGACTGAGAAGGTATGATTACCGTAGCCTTCTAGCCTCTTCAAAAGTAACTGTGTTGGTCAGCATGAACCAATTCAATCAACAACCCCAGTAGACAAGCAAGTCGATAAAAGAATCAGCTTTGCACAGCTGATGGAGGCAGGTAGCCTCAACCAACCCAATTCCAAAGTGCGAATGAAGAGCTCCTCTTAGCCTCTCACTTCACAGCTACAGCCGTGCAGGACTATGGCCTTCACTCGCCAAAAAACTAAAAGCGGAGTTGTGTGTGTACATTCATGCTACTAGAGGTCACCGACATCCATTCAAACTGATTCTGCTTGAGGGGCTGAGTCCTCCAGCCTCTCCAACTTCTCCTTGAAGTCATTGTAAACCTTTGCATGATTTGAGGACCCCAAACCGTCAAGAGTGTCGGACCCCGTGCTCCAGCCTCAAGGAGCGTAAACTGCCTGTGCTGTGACCACCTGCCGATGCAAACTGGGGAGTTTGGATCGCAGCTCCTCTCATGGGAATAGATATATATATATATGGGAGTTGATCTAAATTCCTTTATCCGGGATCCGTCATTTTCGCCAATAAAAAATTTACTTTCGCCAAACTTTCGCCTTCCTGCGTTTTATCTTTCGCCGAAGTACGTTGTATTTATGTGTGCCATGTATGTTGTGTTTTGTTCACGTCAATGGCTTCTTCTTTACTGGCAAACACAAAATAGAAACTTCACTGTTTGTCAGCATGTGTCTTCTACTTAACTGTTGGCACCCTGTACGTCTCTTTTGTTTCTCCTGGGTGTCAGCAAGAATCAAAATTGCAAGAATCACTGTAGTAGCCGGTCACTCAAACTTACTCATAATGGGCTGGGGGTCAGATGTGGCAGGGTGAACTTTCGCCAATCTTGAGCTGAACTTTCGCCAAACTTTCGCCTTTTGCGGGGTAGAGTTTTGTGGCAAAGCCACTCCCCAAAGCAGGAGCAGGAATAGTAGTAGTAGTAGTGGTGGTAGTAGTGGTAGTGGTAGTGGTAGTGGTAGTGGCAGTGGTAGTGGTAGTCGTAGTAGTAGTAGTAGTAGCAGCCGCAGCAGCAGCAGGTTATCTAACTTCCACAGCTCATCTAGCTTCTGAGTCACTGCCACCAGCTGTTCAGAAAGCAAATGAACATTCATACAAAAGTACATATTTAATCTTTCGCCAGATCTTTCGCCAAACAATTTTTTTCTTTCGCCAACTCGAGAAAAAACTTTCGCCAAATGAGATTTTGATGTGTTCCGGGTCATCGTCATACACACTGCTGACTAGGACCTTTAGATCGACAACCATATATATCTATCAGTTGAACCTGTTCTGCTTAAAAAAGCTTGGTCTCAAATCCTCTGGTCGTAGTGGTAGAATGTTCAGCCACTGTGGGCGGCTCTTGGTGTCAGGCCTGGCCCTGAGGGGTGACATAGTTGGGCGCCTGACTGACCTGGGTGACGGCAGTCTGAAACTGGCTGATGCTTCAACATGGAGTCCGACGCAAGCTACCATGACCTACTTAGTCTCTCGAGATGGACTTGGCCATCCTTAGGTTCACCAGCTGAATTGTGTGACGGATCGAACTGATGACGCAGTATGTATTTCACATGTGGGAAGTTGTTCTATTTGTCTTTTGGATGTAACCGCCACGCTGCCCAGTTTTCCTTGCTGCCCAGCTGCAGGCATGCCCACAACCTGGGAAAGCGTTGTAACAGCTCAAACAGCAAACCGGCTAGCGATGAAAGGCTTCGAAGACGTGCGAACGTGCTTCCTGTTGTGCACCTCAAACAAGTGCACGCCCGTACCAAGACTTTGACTCATCAGATCTCAGGAAACGAAGAATCCAATCACGATAGCGTGTAGTTTGAGTGCTTGTTTTGTAGAACTTGAGCCAGCCACAACAACATGACCTCACCAACCCGCAATCCTTTTGCACCTGCAGCACTGTCATGTCAAATTTGCTTGACCCTCTGCTGAGGGAGTGAAACGCCTGTTGCAGTCATAAGCATTGCACTGGGAATCCGCCAATTTACTCCAAGGGCACACGCAGCATGGGGTTATAAGTAGTTGCCCCCAAATAGGAGTGGAAACGGGCCTTGCAACAGAATGAGTCAGAGAATCCTATGCCATTCCATGGTACCAGCTACTGGCGGCATCTTGCTAAACTCAAAGGCAGAGTCGCGCACTACTATGATGCTCAGCCTTGGAGCCCGTCGTCCTGCAAACAAGGCTCTTGTTGGTATCAGAAATTGAATGGCAATCATTTGGCATCTTTGTTGCCAGCGCAAGCAGCACCTCTAACACCAACAGTTCGCTCATATGCTCACCTCTTGTTTCTCCACGGTTTGCTCCAGCGATGTTGGTATCAACTATCAGCCAATAGGCAGCCGTATCATCGAATTTATCGGGATAATCGCTCATTTTGCTAGTTCGGCCACTGTTTCTCACATGTGAGGCTTGATCAGAATGCAAATCACGATAGCATAGGTACAGTACTTGGTTATTTGCTACAAGTGTATGAATCTGTGTGAAGCTGCTTTCAAACCGCTATATAAATTATATAATTACTTTGAAGATATGCAATGGCCGAGTGACGGGTGACGATTCTGGTATGAACCGCCTGAATTGTCAGTCGGATCGTCTTCAACAGCATCATGTTGTTCATCAGTGGATGCAATCATTCCTTGAACTACCTGCTTCTGTCTCCGACCGGGGTGTCACATGCAAGATTCGCAGGATTCACAGTACGTGGAAGATTACCTGCAGGCCAGCACGGGCTGAAGTGCACAAATGCAAAAGAAAGCTCACCGGCACTGGCTCCCAGCTCAACTCTATATCGTGTTGTATGTGTCATGTGTCCCAGCTTGCTTCAAACCCGGAAATGAACCGTCGGTATGGGGCTGGCTGTTGAGTAACCAATGAGGCTGGCTTCACACCGGTGCGTTCCACCACAACCGCAATGCTCCGCAACTCACGCCACCGATTCAAGTTGGTAAGCAATGGTAAGCACACATAAAATCACAAGCCATTTCATGTCAGCCTTCTGTCCTTTGTTCCTTAGCATGTTTGCGAATCTGCATCATTATCTCATCTATGATCCTGCCCGGCGGCCCACACGCCTCACATGCCTCGATACAATGTACGCATCAGCAATCGCGTTGCTTTTAGATGCTTTTAGTATCCTTTAGTGACGTCTGCTGTGGCTACGGCTTCTGATGCTGCTCCGGGGTACATCTACAGTGCCCTATGTCAGCGCCCAGTCAGAGTGACCGAGCACGATTCACACCTTGTTTTGGTTTGCCTTGTTTTTCATTCGACCTCAACATTCGAACCAAGGCAGCGGCCGGTTGAGGGGCCACTGCATCTGGCCCACACTGGTTACAGGCATCCGTGAAGTTGGCGTATTCGTCGTGCTGCCTTGGCCCGAAGGCTAAATGACAGTAAGCAGTAGGGCAAAAAGGCCAACGAAAAAGAACCACAAGGCGACATGAGTGGCGTAACGACGCGGCGCTGTGCTGTAGAATCTTGGGACATTAAGTGTCAAGTCCAAACATCCACAAGGCAAACATGAGAACACAAGCAGTAACAGGTGCCACGCTAGTAGTAACAGGTGCCTTACTATATAGTAGTAACAAAAAGCTATTAGAATTAAATTTAAAGCGTCATCAAGTCCAAACATCGACAAGGCAAACATGAGAACACAAGCCTTCCTGAGACAGCATCTGACAATGAAGCCACGCGCCTTGAGGACTTTTTCGAATCTGCGGGACAGGCCCTAATGACTGGCCCTGTGCTGCATGCCCATGGGCTCCATGAGCCTGAAGCAATGTCAATGCGGCAGGACTGATCAGTGACTGGGCTGGATCAGTGACTGCGGCCCACGGATAGATAGCATATGACCTTGCGTAAAGAAAACTGCGTATCCCCTTGTTTGGGGGGTAGGTAACTTTGCAAATGGCATCTGGTTCGACAGTAAGGTTCATATCTTAGTGTCCGATAAAGAGGCCAGGAGGCATTAGACAAAAAACAACACATAATATGCATTAATATGCAATCTTAGTGGACGGACGCAATTACTCTGTGAGCATGTAGTGAGCGTATCGTAGTGGACCACCGATTGGTTGGTTGGTTGGTTGGTTGGTTGCACATGAGTAGCAAAACTTGAACAATCTGCGCTCACTTGTGCAATTTTTCTTTGCACCACATCTGTGAGCTGAGCATGTTGGTGTTAAGTTATAAAGTTGCGCTTGGAGGCTCGTGATAGCGTTGAACATTGGTGAGTAAAAAGGAACACTCCAATTATACACTAAAAGCAAATCCCCTTGGGCCCACCCAGCGTACCACCCACCTCAAATAATATTCTATTATTTTGAAGTGGTTGGAGATAGCCGCATGAAATTGTTTGTAGGATCTGACTGTGAGAGTGGGTGAAATAATTCACAGGTTTCCATAAGAATTTCCAACATAGATCTGAGATGAGACCACCTATAGGTGGGACCCCCTCCATGAGTTGACTATAGTTGCTCAGTTCGGATCACCACTGACACTGTAGGTAGTTGTGTAGTCACCCACCCCCTCAAATTTTAACTATATGGGTTTGGTGGCCATGTTCCTTTTCTTCCACCTTTCCCACTGTTTCCAACTATTTGTGCAATTTATTATCAATCTCTTTCCCTTTTCTCCTGTTTCCTTCGGGCAAAGAAACAACCGCTCACGAGGAATTGCCTCAAAAGTCAACTCACTGCTCTCAATATATAACTCGAAACAATTTAGTAAATTTGAAGATGTGGGTCCTCATATGCTTGAAATTGTGTAGAATAAATATCTGACATGCGAAAACTATTTTGCACCACCTGGACTGTTTTAGTGAAAATATGTTCAACCACCACCTACATGGCTGGCCATATAACTTTTTTTTAAAATTATTCTGCAAAAAGTATTTCACTAAGTCACCTCCACCTCCAGTAATTTCCGAAGGTAGGGCGTATGTATGATCCACGCTTGCTTGTGTTGCTTTTCTTTCCTTTCCTTCCCTTCCCCTTCCTGTCCTTCCTGGCGTCCCTTCCCCCTCCCTCACTCTATTTTTTGTTCCTGTCTGACTCCTGTCCTTTCTTCTTTCCTGTCCTTCCCGCGCTTCCGTTTCCTATTCTCTCAGCAAAGTGATGCTCCACGGTGTTCTACGAATGACTGCTCCCTGTGCTAAAACAAGCAACGAACAAACAAACAAACAAACAAACAAGTAAGTCGGAATAACAAAGCAAACGCATATGTCACCTTACTGTACTGCAACTTCCCTATGCGAATTGATCTTAACCTCTCCATGCAATACCACTCATTTTCCAAGTGCCATCTTAGTGTCCGCATTCCAGCGAAACGTTTGAAGTTGTTTTGTCTTGGATTGCATTTCATTAGCATTTTTCCAGTGCCATCTTAATCATCTTAGCGTGGATCCCTATACATCATGTTTCCATTTTGGATCATTGTGATACTTTTGGACAGGACCATAATGGAACACAAATCGACAACAATCCGCATTCTTGGCTGACGAATGCTGACGATCAGATTAATCACAGTCCTCAATCTAGTCCAGGATCCATGTTTGGTGAATACATTGAAGTCATACTTCAGAGCTCTCCAGGGCTTAGAAACAAAGCCCGCGCTGCAAGCGGTTTGCTCTTCTGAGAGGTCACACAGCACCAACAGGGCTTGTCTCCACTCCAAGCGGCATGGGGATCAGGGAGTTGTGACAAGCGGTGCTTCATGGCGTCCTTCAGGTTGCAGCATGCTGACCAAGAACTTCTGCCATTGTAAAATTGCAAAAGCACAGCCTGGGGTAATGATGGGTAAAGGCATCTTGATGTGCAGGTATGGTAGCATGTCAGCATGTCGGCCGCTCCTGGGCCTTCTGAAGCTCTTCCAGCTGCTGACGCTGCTGAGACGCGTTGGTCATCTGCAGCTTCACCGTCTCCAAGTCCTACCCACATCCACCGTCCCACCTTCCTACTACGAGTGCATTGGGCTTATCGAAAGCCAAACCAAACCATGCATGGAAACAAACTGTTTGAGCTGGTCGTCTCCTCTGAAACCGCGGAGATCTGGCTCACGATGTCACGATCTCGCTCCTGATCATTGCTGAGTTTTGGGAAAGCTTAGAGGACCAATGTATGTCGTTACCGCAGGAGCAATGCTGTTCAGGCTTCTACTCTTTCAGCGAGCATCACCCTGCAGTCCTCTCTTTTGCCACTCTCTACGAAGTGTGTTTGCTCCTCTGATTGCATCCTCAAGTCCAGTGCGCTGTATTCCTGGCTCTCGTGTTGTAGCGGCGACGACGCTGCTTCTACTAGGAGTCATGATTCTATCCTGGGTTTCACCTGGTTCAAAGGCTCGTAACAATGACAACACAATGACAAGGAGCCCAACCTCCAGAGTCTCTGCTACATCAAGTGCTAACATCAGCTGTTTGTCCCAAACCGCCCTGTCCTTCTCCCTCCTCTGGCGCTCCTCCCTGATCATGTCGCGCATCTCTTCCATGCATCGTTCATCGCCCTGCTCCCTGGCCATCCGCTCGGCCACCAGGGCAGCCCTCACGTCGTCCGTCGGCAGCAAACCGGCAGCGGTGTCCCCGCTGGGCACCGGATGCCCCAAGAACTGCTCCCTGATACGATCGACGCTAAAGCGGACGCCCTGCACTTCCTCAAAGAAAGCACCATGATCCGAGACTGACAGAACAACTGATGATTATGCATGGCTAGCTTGTCGTATCTGTCAACTACATAGTAGACATTATGTATGTCTCTCTCTCTCTCTCTCTGTCTGCCTGCCTGCTTGCCTGCCTGGCTGGCTGTCTGTCAGCCTGCCTGGCTGGCTCTGTCCGTCTGTCTATGTATGTATGTATGGATGGATGGATGGATGGATGCATGCATGCATGCATGCATGCATGCATGCATGCATGGACGCATGCATGGATGGATGCATGGATGCATGGATGCACGGATGCATGCATAGTGTAATGTATTGTATTGTAATGTAATGTATGTACGTACGCACGTACAAGCAACATGCTTCTATTTCCACCAGAAATGTCTTGGCGGTCCTCCTTCCTGGCTGCTGTCTCCATTCGCAGCTCATTGCGCACCCGGTCCACGTCGTTCCAAAGCTCTTCCCTCAGCTTCGTCTGGCCATCGATGAGGCGCTGCACATCCTCCACCTGAGATGAGCTATCTGCGTCTTGGATGCAATGCCCTTCTCATCCCTTTCTAACCCCAAAGCATTTCCCTAGGGCCGGCAAGGAGCCTTTTTCAAGCACCCATGCTCCTTGTCGCACCCCTGTTCAAACCTTGTGCTTCACAAAACCATCTCAAATGATCTCAAATGGTATTGCCAGGGAGCCCCTGGACGGTCGCCTGTGGTTGCTGTTAGCGGCGCTCTGCTGAGGCGAGTAATGGCCATGTCCTTTGGAGCGTGGCCATGGCCATGGCCATCATCTCTCAAGCAAATCATGTCAAATCCATCAGACCCCACTGGAGACTCCACAAACTCCACTCTCGACTCTCGACAAGCCAACTTTGGACTGGAACTATAGATGGTCATCCTATCACATCGCTATTAGAAACAAGTGCCTTACTAGTAGTAACAAGTGCATCGCTTCTGGTAACAAGTGCCTACTAGAATTTAAGGAACTGGAGGTTCCATGGAGATTCCAATCCTTTTTGGTCTCTCCAAAGCAATCCGGTTCGTTGGCCCACTGACCACCAATCAATTCCCATTTCTGTTCGCTGCGCCACTCCGTTGCTCCAAGACTCCAAACTCTCTTTGCTGCTCCGTGACACCTCCTGCAGCTCCTCCCGAAGCTCCAGGAGATCTTGACGCGTCGTCATGAGCTCCTGGGCGCCGCGTGCGTCGGACCCTCGACTCGTCGACCTTCCGGACTTACTGCTGGCTTCTTGCCACTAGTATGGCCGCCAACCTACTTGCGATGGCCTCCACCTACAGTAATAGCGTCCTAATACTGATTCGCAAAATCGAGCCCTTTGAAAGAGGGCCGATGATTTGCGCAATGGGCCCAAGACTGGGTGGACGGGATTTCAACTCGCTGGGCTATTGTCGAACCGCGGGTTGCAATTTTTGGAGAGTAGCTAATTCCTGGCTTGGCAGGATCGGTTGGCATGAAACTCCAGAAACGTGGGCGTCCAAACTGGAGTAGACTTTTGGCAGCTGCCTTCTTATACTCCTTCTTATAAGGCTTATTATCTGTCGGAACTCACTTTTGTTGTGAGTAGTATTCAAGGTGCCTTACAATAGTGCAAACAACCTCCGATCCTCTACGCAGTGAGCGATCTTTGACAAGTGGGTGCTCAATCGGGATTGTGCTTGTGCCATGAGGCGTCAGAACCCTGTGGATAGCATAAAGGAAATGGCAAGCTCATTCCAGGTCATTATCCTATATAATCCTAAATATATTGTTGTTTATATATATATATATATATAGGTGTTTGGGGTCCGGTTGTTTGTCCTGGGCGGCCGCTGTGTTTTGGTCGGGAACTCCCAAACAGCAAAACATATCACCTACGACCTCAGGGACATGCTTGAAATGCAAAATGATGTGGTTCCCGAAGTGGTAGAACGTTGCAATCCGCTGGATTCCAGCGTTGTCTGGTTTGTGGCTGACTCGGCTTTTGCCCTGGTTGTTCGCGGAAACTGTCATCTCTGCCTTGGTTGACTGGACGCAATATATGAGTTTCTTCCGACTTTGGTGATCGGAACACGCCTCAACCAAGCTGGAAAATTCAGTGATTGTGCTCACAATGCTTTCCTGCTGCTGTCTCTGGGTACTGATTGCCAAGAATGTGGCATAGATCAACATAGATCACTGACAAAAGCAGCTTAGCTTTGTGCAAACTGTGGACTAAGATTATCATAGCTGGCCCATGATTCTAAAGTGAAGCATCTTGCAAAGGAGGAGATCAAACACATATTGGGAGTCGGTACATGCTTTAAAATTGACTTTGCAAAGCGTGCGCACGCAATTCTCGAGCGCCCAAAACACTGTCACTACAGTAGATGGACCAAATATTCAAACCGCTGAGTCAATAAGTGTCACCAACCCCGGACCCCCAAAGGTCAATTTTGAACACGACTTGATTGAATTTGTGTTGCCACGGTTTGATTTGTGTCGTCCATTCGCCGAAACACTCTGGCAGGCTCGCTAACATTGAGGTTTGGATAGTTTTGGCGTGGAAGGGATCCAAGTGGTTAGAAGTTTGAAGGGTTTCAATATTTTGTCCATCTACGGTATTTTTGTTCTTGCCACAGTCCAGCCTGCGTCCCTTTGTATGCAAGGCAGCAATTACTGGAAAGGCTTTTGTGTCTATCCACGGCTCGTTTTCGTGTGTTGGGGCAGCATGAAACCGACCCAGCTTCTCGTCGATAAATGATTGTTCTTGACAACTCGCAGGTCCTATCTGAGTAAATGTTAAGTGAGCATCTGTGTGCGGGATATGCACACATGATGGGGCAAAGTTACCTCTTAGTGCATGGCTGCTTGTAGAACCTGCGTGGGGGACCATGCTGTTGGGGTTCCTCGCTTGTAGACACGTCGGTCGCACCTGTGTTCTGTTGCAAACATGCACGGCATATCAACGGCAACTACCGTGATTGTCGAGTCCAGGTTCTGAACACTGCCATACTATCATATACACTTGCCGCCCAAGTCCTTGGAGCTCCTTTCGACGAAATTCGCCACACTTGATTCCTGAGCTTGGGTGTTCAATGTTCAACCATCAGTACTACCGACAAACAGGATTGGTGGTGCACCAGCACGAACATGTTCCTGATTTAAATTGTCAATCGTGCTGGGTTAGCCCATCGGAATTAAAAGCCAGTTTCCCACATATCAAGTATATAGTGCAAGGAAACATGTTCCACTACGGATTCAGCACGGTTGATTCAGTAGAATTCTAAGGCTGCTGCAATGCTTGCTTGCAACTGCCTTTCCTTGGATGCTGACTACTGGAATCCAAATATGCGCTAGCAGTATTTGTGTGTGTGAGCAAGGATTGACTTTATGCTGCAATTTGGCATATACAGTTACAGTGTCCTTATTTAATGCCAACCCCGGTTGTCCTGCCAAAGTGCACTGCGGAAGCTGTGGCACAAACACCGGTGTAGCATACGCATGCTTCTTTTAGTGAAAAGTCGAGGCGCAAGCGCCTCGGCAGATGCATTCGGAGCTGAAATCTGCATACCAGCCATCTTTTCCTCGATGACCCTGTGTTCCTGGGATTGATGGCGCGAGAGGCAGCAGTCATCTGTTAGGTGCAATTCTGGGCGGCATTCTTTGTCTGCAGCAGCGAGGTCTTTGACGGACATGGATTTCAGACAGGCATCCGCTTGAATCTTCTCTTCCAGCGTCTTCCTCATAGCTTGCTGGGCAACATTTTGGCATGTTCTCACGTCCTTCCACCCCCAATACTCGCAGTAAAACGCAAGCCCTGGCCACCTCTGGTAGTGTATCATGTCTTGACTCTTTACTCGGCTTGCTCATCTTTGCAAATCTTCCTTAACCTATCCCAAGTCCAAGACCTCACCGGCCATCCTGGATTCAACATTTTTGCGATCAGTTGTCAATGTGAAAAACATTATTGGCCATTGGCTTCCCAGAGAAAACACCGAGCACGGAGCTGATTTAAATGCATTGGCTCTGGTGAGTCCAACTCCCGTCCTTGTTACTAGTAGCGTCCTCTTGTTCCTAGTAGTACGGCCAGGAGCCCCTAGTAGCGATGCCCTTTGCAGTAGCGATGCCCTTTGCAGTAGCGATGCCCTTGTTGCTAGCCGAGCTTCAGGACCATGAGCAAAACCTCTTCGCGTTCCTTGACTTCATGTTGCAGCGAGCTTTGCCGCTGCTCTCGTTCTACACCAAGCTCTTGCTGCAGAGCGCGCACCTGCCAAATCCGACGAATCTATTTATATTTTGTGCATGTAGAAGTGGTCTGGAGTGGTGTAGGAGTGGTGAAGTGTTGGGAGTTGGGAGAGCCCATGCCTATGCTATACAGCAGCATTAAACAGCCATATGCAGCCTAATTAGATATAATCTATACTATATATACACCTCTTCCAGAAACTTCAGGAGACATTTGAAGAAACGACCGGAATGATGTAACATGCAACTGCGAGTTTGCACGACCAAGGAAACATGACGTCCGCAGTTTGACAAACCACACTCTTGATGAGAAGCAATACAGTCCGAAACCAACAAGACCATTGCTGGAGGACAGGCAGACCGAATGGTAGTTTATTGAAAGCCAAATTGAGGTTCTTTCCTCCCATTGGCCTGAGAGCTGGCTGCTGTCAGCTGTTCCTGCAGGGTCCAATCTTGATGTGACGTGTGGTTTGATAATGTGATGACCAGTGAGGAGCTTAAGAGCCTGGAGCCTCTTCTCCAGTTCCTGGAGGGAATCCTCCTGCCGTTGACGTGCAGCATCGATCCGCCTAAGAAAGGTGATAATCAATCCAAACATTCCAAATCAACAAAAAGCAGTTGCCCCAAACCTGCATTTTCAAGACCGAGTTGCTCGTGGATGGTTGGCAAAATTTCTTGCACTGTGGCCAGCAGCTTGCTCCCCTCCTGTCAGAGGAACCACATGGAACTCTCGACTCTAGCCCACTGAACACCTTCAAGGAATACAATCTGAGCCTCTTGGCGACAAAAGCATTCTGTCTCCAAGTTCTTCTCCAGCAAGTCCACCCGGCTACTGATAGCATTCCTGGGTGGAGCCGACTTGCATCGATGCAAGTCCTCACACTTCTATCAGTTCATTTCCGCAAGCAACACCAGATGGATCACAACCAACTCAGCCAAAACAAAGCTGACAATAATGTCAGGCTGCATGGCGAAGGTGGACGCATTGCCTTGGCCCTCCATGGACCTTCAAGAAATGAAGAGAAATGATGGGAAATGACTGAAGACTCGAAAGGCAAAAGTCAATTGATGAACGCTTTCGACTTTTTGACTCGCGTGCGCCTCTCAGAGAGCTGACGTCGAACCTCGGCTCGCACCAAGGTGTCAGTGATGGACTCGGCATTCACCACCTTGGCCGGGGTCCCCTGGGACGCCGTTTTGGTCGGTCCAGCGAGGTGGAATGAGACCCAAGCCTTCAAATCCTTCACCTACTCTTTTTTCTTTCAGCCGGTTGCCCTCACCCATACTTGAAGTAGGCACGTACTTCATTAAGGAGGTGAGCTAGGTAGAACACAGGATAGCTCATGCTATTCATTTGGTTCCTGGGTCTTTGGACGTACCTAAGGCCTCACACTTCAAATTCGTCGACACTTGCCCAGCTATGCAGCGATACACACCTTGCCCAATCCTGTCAGAAGCCTACCATCTTGCACCAACTAGTAATTTGGAGGCCATTGCTAGTAGGTTGGAGGCCATTGCTATTGCCGATCCTTGTAGCCACGATGCTGCAGTCTCGCCACGGCTTTGCACCCTCAGCTGTTCCACAAGCCTGTGAAGTTCGGCAAGTGACGCGATTTTCTACTCTACACCGGCTGCTTGGGGTGCCACTGGGTAGCCTTTCCATGCCTTTCCTTTTCTGTACAGGATCACTTGGGCACTGACCTGGAAAGATCTGCGCTTGCACTGCTGATCTCCAACTTTTGCATCTCAAGCTCTTGCCGGATGCTGTCTCCTCAGAGGAAACGAGGAGAAGGACTTTTCCTTGAACTTTTATACTGCATGCTGTGTTGCGGCAAACCTGTGCCACGGTTTGAAGCGTTCTCGTGGTGGGATGAGATGTGGCAAGACTCAGTTTGATGTTCCTGATGCTATCTATATATATGTACACCATTATACACTGTTGATCAGCTCACCCTGTTGGATCTCTTGGGCCATTCTATCCAAGCAAGCTCCGGATTGGCGATGTGGCTTTCTGTCAGGTCAAACCAGTGGGTTCTTACGAGGGAGCCTGTGCACTTTGCAGTGGCATGGCCCTCCAACTCTCCCAAACCGCCAACATCTGAGACTCTGAAGTGGCCAAACTCACTAAGGACTTGCTGCGTTTGGCTTGCTGCTGAACCTGGACAGGCCAAAGACATCCTAGAACTAGAAATGCAACTGAAGCTCTTCAGGCTTTAACTAGTCCGAACTACAACGAACACGACGATAAGCCGAAGAAGGACTCCATCCGACCCTGCCCGGCGCCTACTTCCAAGCGTACCTCTCTTTGCATCGCCACGAGCCGCGCTTCGATATGACTTTCCACCGCGCGGCGCAGGGCCTTGGACTTTACACCCAAACCCACCATTGGCAAACCACCATTTTAGGGAAACCATCCATCAGTCCATCAGTGAGGTCCAGAAAAAGAATGATGTCGCAACACTCTGCCAAGCTACTATAATCTACCATACATACATAGTATCAATTTTTCAGCGGGCATTCGTATGCACAACTAACTCCGACCCTAGTGACAACTGAGACTGAAGCCTTGAAACAAAAAAAGGATCATAGCAAGCTTGAGCAAAAAATTCTTGCACGTCCAAAACGCTTGATGTTTAGGGTAAGGCACAGATTCCTCTTTGACGGTGCTGTGCCAGCGCTGCTCCAATCGCGACTCTGCTTGCTCTGCTTGGTGTTGCTGCTGTCGCACAGCCTCAAAAGGTGGGAACACACCGGCAACAAACGCCTGCTGTCAAGATCGCATATGGCATAAGTGGCACTTCCGCCACTTTCTTTCTGCACTTCCGATCATTGAGCAGGCAGGTCTTTGCTTTTGGGCTCGCCTCTTCACGCCGCTTTCCTTCAGCCTGGCCACATAAAAATCAGGCAAAACAATATAAAAAAACAATCCTTGGTGTCCAAGATGAAACGGCATGTTGCATAGATATCCAACGCATCAACATATATTTTGAAATGGACATGTGTTGTCCCTGTTGAACTCTCTTCATTCTACTGGATGCCTGCACCAGGGCTTCGATCTGCAAGCCCATTTGCTTCCGTGCCTCTACCTCCATCCTGGAGAGGGTGTGTTTATGGCAAACTTTGTAGCTCATCGCTAAGCCACAGCAAACGGGAAATCCGATCTCCCTCATATCTCCTTCATGTATATGACCCAACCATTCGAACGGTGAGGCGTAGTTGCAATGAAGTCGACAAACAATTTCAGCACCAGTTTAAACTGAAGTATATAAGTATGTCAAAGTAAACTACTGGAGCAAGGACACGCAAACTTGCCAGTAGCGCTTGATCTCTTGTCGCAAAATGCGCACGTCTTGATTCGAATCTGAAATAGGCAATGATGGATTTGTAGAGGACCTTGGCAACATCAAGGAGGCTCCAGGCACAGCGGGAAGCAGCACACCCCAAATTTGTTCCGCAGGCTGACCGGACAAATTTTGGCACCAAACAACACCGCTTCAAACCCAAGACCGTCAGCATCTAGCATCTAGCATCCAGAGCAGCAACCATTCCTGTCCAACTGGGCTAGTAGCCTCGTCGTAAGGCCGTCCATGATCAGTTGTCTCCTCAATGTCTCCACCACCTGAGTGGTGATGAGATGATTTGTTGTCTGTACTTCCAACTTGGCGGTATTGGGCCAGCATCTACTTGCGTAGTCGAAGGGGTGAGTGAAATCTCAGCAACTGAGACTATACTGACTATACAAAACAAATCAAAAATAAAGACCGGACATGTGAAGCTGTTGCGCTTAGGGCAAGAGGAAGCAAAAGCGGAAGGAAGAGGAATGACACTGGATGCATGAAACACGGAGAGGGGGTGGGGGGTGAGTGTGCGACTGTGAGAGAGAGAGGGAGAGGGAGAGAGAGAGAGAGTGAGTGTTTTGGCTCAAGCCATTTTGGCTCAAGCCATTTGGCTCAAGATTTGGCTCAAGCCTGGCTCAAGGTGGCTCAAGCCCGCTGGTCGTTGAGTCCGACGAGGGCACTGGCACCACATCTTTGCTGGTGTCTTTGACGGGACCTATATCAAGGGAGGCCTTGCCATTGATTTTGGAGGTTGTCGAGTTCTTCACGAAGTGAAGATGATGGATGGATGGGAATACCCGAGACGCAAGGCAAGGGCCTACCATGTTTGCAAAGGGTGCACAAACTCATGGATCTGGAGTGACAGGATCTCGTCGACCAGGTGGGGATGCACCAAGTGTGGGGCAGCTTGGCCACAGAGCAATGGCAACTGGAGGACAGATTGGTCACCTAAGAAGAAAGCTAACCTTTGAGGAAGACCACGTCACCAAGTTGCCACCCCCGGGACTCGGGGGAAAGACAAAGCAGCAGAAGAGTGAGGTTGAACAGACGCTGAGGCAGGCTTGGTCGTCACTTCCGACAGAATGCCAACAAGCGCTCAAGGGCATGGGCCTGGACTTCACCCCAGAGCCTGAGCCCCAGCCTCTGGAAGAGCTGCTCAAGGCTCACTTGGAGAGCCTGCCCAAAGAAGTCAAAGAAGTGGTGGAAGGGTTATTGAAACCTGCTCCTGCAGCCAGTGTAGATGTCACTGGCCAGCTGAAGGCAACTGTGGGTGAATTGAGGCCGCTCACGACCAAGAAGCAATCACTGCAGAAGCGGGTGGATCAAGCCAAGGAAAGCTACAAGATGCTACTGGACGAGTTGAAGATTGTTCAGGAGGCAATTGACAAGGAGCATAAGCAGCTGGGCAATCAGTCGGAAGCATATGCAAAGCAATTGAAAGAAGAAGCTTTACCGACTACACCCCCGGCTGAGCATGTCCTACACCCAGACATCACTGAACACGTCATGAAGGCAATGGGACAGGCAGGCATCATCTTCACGGTGGAGCAGCAGAAGGAGTTGGAGAGAAATTTGGCGGAGACCATTGCCAAGAGGCGAAAGACTGTCGGTGATGCCCAGTTGAGTGGGTAACAGGACCAGAGCTTTTCATGGAAAAGAGAAAAAGGTGACAACCAGCACAATGGTGAAGGGGTCCTGTTGGCAGAGTTGTCATAGAGCTGAGCATGAATGGAGATGTGGGGAAAAATCAAGCTCTTGGGAATGTTTGAGTGTTTGGGAAGCAACCTCACGCACTGGTGGGGAGTCTGGTGAGAGAGGTTGCGGCAGTGCAGATTGGTTGTGGGGCTTCACGCAAGGAGATCAGCCTTGTGAAATGATGCATGTGCCGCATCAAGGAATGCAGCCGTATGGGTACCACGATGTCCAATTTGAGCAACCTTTTCCAATTGGGCAGGATCAGATCACCTTTGAAATAGATCTGGGTGTTGATGAAGCTAATTCCAATGCTTTAGATCCACGGGCGGTGATGTCGGCCGTGGTCGATGGGCAGATGGAGATGTTTGACGGAGTGGAAAGGGTTGAACAAACCCCTATGGAAAGCAAACAACAAGGATGGAAAGAGGTTAGGAGTCATGAAACCTTTGTGACAAAGGAGACCGAGGCAAGCTTTGTGGCTCATCCTCGTGCTGAAGGAGGTCAAGGCTGGGACTGCAACGGGGCACCGACCTTGCAGAGCACAGAGCGGCCGAAACCTGGACCTGCTGATTTCGGGACCCTGGAGCAGGACCAACGACAGCCTAGTGACCAAGAAGGGGCTTTCCAGCCATGTGCCCTTTTGGGCGGAGGAAAAAGAGGATGGCAAGAAGAAATATGGGTAGATGGAAGAGAAGAGGCAGAAGACTTGAATGCTGACGATGCTGCCCAGAGTGCCCAGCATAACCGGCACCTTGACGTGCCAAAACCAGGTGTATCAGATACACCTGCTTTTGACACCAGCCCAGGGAGGCTACAGAATCGGTTGATGGTTCTACAAGAGAGAGCCAGGGAGGCGATACAGGCCTTGCCGGTGGCTTGTAGGGAAGATGGAAACTACGACATGGTAGAGACGAGAGTATGGGGGCTTGAAGCCCTTAAACACATCTTGAGAATGAGACTGGCTCTTCAGAGCACCTTGAGGCTTTGCAGGCCGGTGGATCACCAGCATGAAATCCCTCCTGCGGCAGAGCTGCTGGCTGCAAATCTTACACTCTGTTTGCACAACAAAGGAAATAGGCGCTATGCAAACTCTGTCCTGAGAATGTGGTGCTGGATGGGAGCTCATCATCCCAACCCGGCTGACTTTTGGGGTGCCTCCACAAAGCTTTGCATGCAGTTGCTCCAACAAGATGAGGTGCCAGATATCTTTTGGGCAAGTGAACTGCAGCCCGTTATTGCCAGGCTGGACCAGCCTCAAGCACAGCATGATGCGTCGGAGTTTCTGGTGTTGCTATGGGAGCTCTGGGGACAGACGGGACTTCAAGGAAATTGGCACTCCCATTTTGCTGGAACGTGGCATGAGTTTGACACCATCCCGGTATACATTCGGATGCCTGTTGAAGCAGGAAATGAAGTACAGTTTGAGGACCTCCTGAGTGAATGGGCAAATGAAGCCAATGGGCAGTGCCTGGGAAAGGATGTTGAGCATATTGTGTTCCACATTGGCAGATACTCGTTGTGCCAGGCCTCGAGATCATGGGTGAAACATCAGCACCTACTTCATGTCCCTTCCACCTTCAGATGCCCGCAGATGACGCAAACAGGATATGCTGGTCACTCCATCTACTAGTATGTTCTGAGAGGAATCATTGCACACCAGGGAGAGGAGCTGGTCTCGGGCCATTATGTGACCCTGTTGGTTGCTGGGGATGCAGTGTGGTTTGCAGACGATGGACAGTGCCCGGTAGTTCAAAAAGAGGTGCCGCATCAAATCAAACAAGGTGCTGTAATGGTTTGGGCCTCGAAGGCGGAGCAATCCGAATTTTGGACAACACCCATTGGCAAATTTGAGCCACCTGCCAAACGGGCAAGACATCCGCATCAAGAGATTGAGCTGTGCTATGCCAACATCACGCAATGGACCAAGGAGGTCAAGGAGTGGATGATTCAGCAGGATAATTCGGTTGTCCTGATGGTGGAGACCCACCTACATGGGACCAAACTTGATGGAGCCCACAATGATTTGTGCAGGCATCGATGGCAGCCCACTTTGATGGAGGCTTATGAAACTGGAAGAGGGGGCAATAGTGGCGGTCACCTTTTCTGTGCAAGGGAAGGACAATCTGCATACAAGCTCCACTCCTATGACCTGGAAGGCAATGGCTTCATGGCCAACGTACTTCAGAGGCAACAGCTGGAATTGGTGATTGTTTCGCTGTACTTGAAGTGCGGAGAGGATCTACATTCCAAGGGCAATTCCACCATTTTGGGTCAACTGGCGGCCTTCATCCAAGAGCTTGCAGTGCCTTGGATCGTGCTTGGAGATTTCGAAGTTCCACCAGCACAATGGGAAGGGCATAATTTGCTGAATGTCCTTAAGGCTGAAGTGATTTGTTCTGGTCAATCAATGATGATCAATGGAGCTGAAATAGATTACCTTTTGGCTAGCAGAACAGTTACCCCGTTTATCAGCCTTCAAGTGGACTGGAATGTTCCTTGGAAGCCGCATGCAGCATTGAGGGTGACAGTGGACAAAGATGCGCCACGTTTGCTACTTCCTCAGTTGACTCAATATGCTGCAGTTCCAAAACTTGAAGATGCTCAAAGGAGTTGGGAGGACTTCCAACCGGCTCCAAAGGTTTTCTGGCTTGGCAGACCAACGGGTCCCAAAGAACTTCAATATGCTGCATGGTGCCACCAAGCTGAGCAGTATGCTCTTCAAGGCCTACATGAGCCCAAGCAAGGCCGGGGATGGTATCTGGCCCTTGAGAACAAACCTCTTCCAGTCTCAAAGCCTCTGAGTCCGTGGAAGAAAGGGGACCTGGCATACTGGGGGCAGTTCACATCCCTGCTGCATCACATTGCTGGCAAACAGAGCATTGGAGTGGGCGCGATGGACCACCTGAGGGCTAAAACTGCAGATCTGCTTCTGAGGTGGCAAGATGTTCATGGACTGGATGAATTTCTGCAGTGGAGTGGAGGCGCTCATTGCCGGGGACCCGTCCCCGATAACGCTGCTGATCAAGGGTGCTGAATGCAACAGAGATTATGCAAAAAAGGTGGCATTGGAGCAACAGGCCAGTGATTTCCAGCTGTGGTTGTCCCAAGCAAAATTGAGAGGACACAGTGACATTTACAAATGTCTCAAAGCACCAGACAATGTGCATGTCAGGCCCTTTCGTGATGTTCCTGTCCAGCAGAGGCAAAGCTTGCGAGAGCAACAGTGGCATGGGAGATGGGAAGTGCTTGAAGCCCCGTTGCAGAGTGGTGAAAGAGAACGCCTCAGATGGGAAGGAATTGTGCAGGCGAGGAGCTGGGAAGATTTGGATCCCCATGAAGTTATGAAGAAACTCCAAAAGCTTCCGCAAAAAGCATCTGGCCCTGATGGCATCAGCTACGCATTGCTTCGAAACTTGCCCATTGAAGGAGTCATTGAACTTTGCCATATGATGCGGAAGTGGGAACTTGCTGGCAGGCTGCCTGAGCAAGCATGCACAACCCTGGTCCTGCTACTACCAAAAAAGGCTGAAGTGGAGAGGCCAATCTCTTTGACTAGTGTCATTTACCGCACATGGTGCAGGCTGAGATGGGACAAACTACGTCAGTGGCAGACAACCATTGGTACAAGACTCCCATGGGAAAGAAGCTTGCCTGGCACACAGGTCTTACAAGTTGCACTTATGAGATTGCTCAAGTGCGAAGTTGGCCGTGCGGTTGGGCGCCACATCATTTCGCTGCTCATTGACTTACAGTGCTTTTACGATTCTGTTGAACTTGAGCAGCTGTTGCACCTTTGGGAACCTTTGGAGTTCCCGCCTGCATACATGAACATGATCTATGAAGTGTACTCTGGACCACGGCTATTGCAGGCTGAAGGTGTTACATCCAGCCCAGTTCATTGCAGGAAGGGCATGTTGGCGGGCTGCCCGGCAGCCCCACTTGTGGCAAAGATCGTCCTGGCACCGGTCTTGCAGCAGTTTCAAGCCAGCCATCCCAGGGCCTCTGTTGATGTGTGGGTCGATGACATCTCCATTGACTTTGATGGTGATGACCCACATACAGTTTGCAAAGAAGCACTGGCTGGCTACGAGGAGGTGAAGGCTGGACTTGAAGCTGTTGGCCTCCAACTATCGCCAACCAAGACTGGTTTCCTAACGTCTTCTGCTGAGGCGAAAAGGGAGATTACACTGCATAGATCTGACAGTCAGCCAAAAGCCCATGACCTCCTCAAGGATTTGGGTCTGGATTCGAGTGGGGGACGTCGGCGGAGGATTGGCAACCAGCAAAAACGCCTATTGAAAGGCAGTGGCAGACAGTCGAAGCTCTTGCACCTCAAGCTTCGGTCCAGGCCTATTCGCATCAGGGTGTGGAAAACATCAATACACTCTGCAGTCAGTTTTGGAGTGGAAGCTCAAGGCATGGCGCCACAGAGGGTGAGAACACTACGTCAACAATTGGCAAGACATGGTGGTCTGCAGAAGAAAGGCAGTGTTGACATCGTGTTCGACCAGCATGCTCACCTACAAGATCCCAAGGATACGGCGGTTGAGAGGCAACTCAAAGCAATGCATCAATTGGTGAGGGCTTGGCCGGCCAACCAGAGGGGAGAATTGATGTCAGCCTGGAGGGTGTCCTGGAGGAGGCTTCAAACTGCTGCAGGACCCATGGCTGCAATGCAGACATACTTGATGGAGATGGGTTGGGATGCTTCAGTACTTGATGACTGGGTCAGGCCTGCAACGGGTCTTCTCCCGCCCAATCAGCTCAGCTTGGACTATCCCTGGCCTCATTTGCTGCGGCAGCTTCGGATTGGACTATCCCTGGCCTCATTTGCTGCGGCAGCTTCGGATTGAACAAACACATCAAAGAGCCAGGAGGATTCAGCAGTTGGAGCATTGTTTCCCGTTGATGAAGCAGCCTGACTGGACAGTGTACCATTGGGTGAGCAAGAGGCTTAAGGGCACTGCCAAGGCGGCCATTGATGCGTGGACTCAAGGCTCTTTGAGGACCCATGGAGATGGAGAAAGAGCAATCTGTCCATTGTGTGGAGTGCCGGTCACTATGAAGCACTTGATTTGGCAATGCAAGTACCATCAGAAGGAGCTTCCAGTGACAGTGGAGTGGCAACGTAGCATCCAGGCCAATGAGGATACCATGCTGTGGGCAAGAGGGCTCATTGAAACACCCAACTTCGAACCTGTCGTTGGTCCGGATTCGTGTGAAGTCTCTGGATGTTTTGCAAGAGGATGGCCAATCCGACTTGGTCACACCCACAGACTCGCCATTGGTGTGCAGGCCACTTGCAAAGATGCTCGGTTGAAGCGCTATGCTACTTACAGCTGGGGAGTGGCAAGAAGGTTCATGGCAAATTCTTGGCACCTGCACGGCGTTGGCGCCTGGGCAACCGACTGAAGCTCGAGCATGGCTGTTTGGCGTCTGGATCCTCCTTCAAGCTGTGATTGGCAAGCATCAGATCAACATCCCAAGCAGAGCAGGATGGGCAGCTGTACAAAAGGGTGGCAAGGGAATGACTGCGCCTGACCTTTGGCACAACCTGCCTGAGGATGAGTGGAGCCGTGTTCAGGTACTCAACGTGCCGCAGAAGATGCTGAAAGACAATGGTGGTGACATGAGGGCATGGATGCAGTACACTGAAGCCAAACTGGCGGCAAAGCAGAGGGCTACCAAAGAGGCTCCAGGGGACTTAGATGAATTGAAGAAGGCTGACCTTTTTCACATCAAGGTCTATGAGGCTGCAGCTGAGAGAATTGGGGCAGTGTTGGAAGATACTGACCATTATATGCACGGGAAATTGGAGCAAATTGAGACTGAGTTCAAGATCAAAAAGGACAAACCCAAGGGCCGTCTCTTGCTGTTCAATCAGCTTGTGCAGCAAACGCCAGTTGAAGGCCAACACAAGTGGCTCCATCACCGGGGAGGTCTTGTGTGAGCTGTGCGGCAAAAGGATCAAGGCTTGCAGTACGCACAGTGAGATTAGCACCAAACAATCCACACAGTGCAATGGCAGGGTCACTTTGACTTTGAAGCAAACAATGGCAGCTCTGGTGCAGGAGAGTGAAGGATTGGATGAGGAAATTGAGGGCCATCGGTGGACCATCAGTGCCACTTCGTTTGGATGCAAACGGTGCTGGGCCAAGATTCCTTTGAGAAGCGGCAAGGCTGCATTGACCTCGATGCAGCAAAGTGTGTGCCTCTATGGTCCGAAAACGGAAGCGGAGTTGGGTCTTCGCAGCAGGGTTCACACCACCCATGAGATTTGGAGACGTGGAGCATGGTTGGAATGCAAGAGATGTGGGCGCACCACCAAGGAGATCCAAGGCAAGGTCCAAACGTGGCTGTCCCAACTGTGCCAAAAAGGAGGCGGACAAAGAACCTTGCAATTTGTGCAGCACAGCTCTGAGAGTTGATGGGACACAAGATCGGGCATCCAGCTCTAGACTTTGAAAGGATTGATGTCCAGCTGGATGGCTGTATAGGAGACCTATCTGATGATGCTCCGTGAGGGAGCCTGGACTGCAAGGAGAATGAGCCTTGGTCCAGAGGAGTGTACAATAGGCCACTTTTGCCGTGGAGGTGTGGCCGGTGAGACTTGGCAGCTCGAAAAGAACCGAGAAAAAAAAAAGAGAGAGTGAGTGAAGGGACAGAGAGAGAGAGAGAAGGGAGCAAGCAAAGGGAGTGAGTGGAGGGAGAGAGGCGAGTGGAGAGGGATAGGACGAATGGCGGGCGGGATGCAAATATATAAATGTACGAAAACCACACAAAGATCCACACGTGTCCGCACCAGGATCCACACAGAAGCGGCCCAAATCCCCTCATCTGTTTGAGGGTTTTTGCCAGCACCTCGGCAAAGCTGTCTGGCAGCATACTACCAGAAAGTGCAGAAATTAGGAATCAATAATGTTTCCAACTGGTCACTTGAATCTGCCAGTACGCTGCGTCCTTTTCCCACACGCTCTGGCAAACCACGGGCGAGAAATCGCATTCGCGCTGCAACCCCGTGGTGATGACCCGAACAACATCCGATGCGTCAGGGTCAATGGAAAGGACAAGGTGCTTCAAGAGATCTTGGCGCGCAATCCAAAGGGCTGCAACAAGTAGCTGAAGAATTCAACAGTGGCGAGACACGCTGCACAAACATCTGGCATTTACGGTAAACTGTAGTAGATCTCTCTCTCTCTCTCTCTTTCTATGGTCTCAAAAGCACGCGTTATTTTGTATAATATGGGTATGTGTTTGCAAATGTACTTGCATGTGTCTTGCGATGTAGTTGTTGTGCATTGGCTTTAGGATGCTTGATTTATTAAAACACAGCCATTTGACGAATCTTTTCTGGGCAGTATTTGTTCAACCCGCACCTGGAAGCTTGATGACCAAATCTTAAGTTGCATTGTAGGGGATGGTTCTTCGCCACACTCTCTTGTCAACAATCACGCAGTATCGTTAGCAGTCTGGTAGGTGATTTCTTGACAAAACAGCACCACATGCAAATACAAGCAGCGCAATGCCAAGTCCAAAACTCTGGCACCATCATCCCGGTTCGAGAACAAGCGCTGGTTGAGGTTGATGAATGTAATTCATGCAGTTGTTTCCATGATATGCGTGTGTTGCAAAACTGTTCTACTTGGGATTTCATCATTTGACAAACATGCACTCACATGGGCAAAAGCTTGAGTACAGTGCAATATATATATATATACACTGGTTGCCTTGTCATTGTGGAGCTGCTCTGCTCCAGCTTCTGTTACACATCTCCTTCTACTGTTTTGGCCCATCATTGTTCTGAGCCGTGTAAGCTGGTGAGACACTTTCAGGGCTGGCCGTCTCAACTCATCTGCTGGGTGGCGGCGGTGAGAAGCTGCCACCATACGATGGTGACAAGGAGTCCCCATGTTCGATCTCAGGGCCCTGGCCATGACAAGACATCAACGAACGCAAAGACTGCAGGGGGCTCACGAACGTCAAAATCATTCAAAATCACAAAGACCGTGGCCGCAAACGGAACATAAAAAGAAGCTGAAGAGATTCTGAGCTCCACTAGTCTACCCGTTTTTTCAAACATATTTGCGAACAGGTCGCCCACCTTCAAATCATCCTCCGTGAGTGGCTCACTGGAGGGTGCTTTATAGGAGAAACGCTGGGTGTCGGGCATGCTGATGCGCGGCGCCTCGATCACCTGGCTCGGTGCTGTTTTGTTAACGACAGCCTAGCTAGTTCCTCCGACCTTATAGAAATGGCCTCCAACCTAGAAGCGATGGCCTCTAACCTACAGTAACAGCAACGGCCTCCAACCTACTAGCGATGGCCTCCAAACATGCGGCACCGATCGCTGAAGAGTCAAGAAGCCCTGAACAGCAAAATAATGCAAAATAGATCATAAGGCCACAGGTGTCGACGGTCAATATCCCAAGTTTCTTTGGCTATGTGGTCAGCAATTCATAAGGGCCCATTCCTTTGCTGTCCTTTGCCCTATCTGACTGTTAAAACTTAATCAGTGCGCACTATGATGCAACCTGTGCAGCCTTTGGCTCTAAAGTGCTCCAATTCGCACCTGCTCTTCCCTCTCCTTGCGTTGGCTGCGCCAGCGGCTTAGCAAACATAGGGCAAGAATGAAGGTGCCGCCCGCAGGAAAAACCCAGGTCCAGTGCTTGCTGGAGTTGTCCTCGCAGAAGCCAAACTTTGGCAGGCTTTGCGAAAGGGTGCTAATGTCCATTGCGTTTAAAAGCAGTTTCCAGTCGTAACGGGGCCAATTGCATGCGGTGGGCTGTCTGGGATGTATAGCAGGGGTTGAACAAAGTATTGTGCATGTGAGGCCGTGCGAGAAGGTGAGTTGAGTTCTAAAACTATCCCGTTGTGGTCCTCCACTGTGCCGCCACCAGTAGGGTTGGCCCAAGCAATCGGATTTCCAACTCTCTTGTATTTCTCCTGTCAGCTTTGATTTCTCCGATGAACAAGTCGTGGTGTTTCCAGCCAAATCAGGAGGTGAACAAGGAAACGCGGCTACGCTTCAGCAGCATTCTTCCCGGGGATATGAATCTGAACACATCGGCACAGCTCAGTTGAAGCTGGATGCATCAAGCAGCAATGCCAAAAGGAAGCAAACTTTTCTGGTTTGTCAACTTTTGTGCTGAAAGTGCGCTTCGCTTATATACATACATAAACCCCCAAAATGCATAGCTAGCACAAGAAGCCAGTGCAAAAGAAGGTAGATCGGCGTCAACTAAAACAACTATCGCGCATTGAGCACGTGCGTGCGTGTTGCTTGACATCCAGAACTGTAACTGGCAGATACAGCCAGGATCTAGACTTATATATATATATATATATAAATATTGCACCCAGACTCTTCCAATTGCCATCGTTGTGAGCAAAGGTTTAGGGCACAGTGGCTCTGACTCCTGAGTATCATACTCCCCAGTCTCTTCGTAGCGACGGTCTGACTCTGAATCACCAGCTGCAAAGGCTCGACGTGAAGCCTTCAGGGTGGATTAAAAGGCTGGGACAAATGTCAAAACAGCTAGCGATGGTGAGCCTTTCCAAAAACCTTCGGACATGAAGATTTATCAAATGATATCTTCATAAGAAACGATTTGCCTGGCACACAGTGCTCCTCAGAATGTTGGCTGGAAGCGGCCCTCTCTGCGCACATATGATCGGCGAGCGCAGGAGTGCCAGGGCTCTCATGGCGCAAAAGCCGTGTCTCTGATAAAATGAGCCAAAATCTTCACCATAGCAGTTCGTCCCTTTTCTTCCATGTGCAGTCCATGTGTTGGAGGTTTTCTCCCAAAGGCTGAAGCTGCTGTTGCATTCTTAAGTGAACGAGATGCACAGAATAGAGTAAGGATGATTCAGGCCTTGTAGAATGGTGTGACACTGCTGTTTCAATTGTTCACACCAAATCTAGGTTGGAGGCCATCGCGTCTAGGTTGTAGGTTGGAGGCCATCGCTAGTAGGTTGGAGGCCAGTGCTACCATTGCTATTAGGTTGGAGGCCATTGCTTCAAGTCTCCACACTCTGGAACGATTTGCAGCTTTACTGAGAATCCGGCTCCCGCTCAGCCGTGGCTTTGCATCCTTTTTCGCAGCCTCTAATCGGCGCTTTCTCTTGCAAACTGTTGACATTCCCTTGCAACCTCGTTGCACATTGTCTGTTTGGTGGTCTTACCCAATATGTATATATACATACATTCTTTTTGCAATTCCATCGTTTTGCCAGGGTGCATTAAAGTTATCATGCTGGTACTGTACTAGTCAGTTTACTGGTCTTCTTTGGCTACAGTGCTACAGCATGCAAAATCAGTAAGGAGCTCTAGTTCAGTTAGGCATGCTCCAGCGTGGGTAGATTGAGAACCCCCTCGCTTGTGAACAAGCGGAAACCTTTTCTATCATTAATTACATTGCATGTTGGTGAACACCGGCATACTGCAGCACTTGACAACTTGATATCACTCACTTGTCACTTGTATGGGAAATATCATGAATTATCGGGAAGTCTTGACCCAGCACACTCTATATATAGATGAAAGAGAGAGGGAGGGCAAATAGCTCCATTGCGTCAAAAAACCGGATAGTAGCCAAGTAGCACCAATCAAGTAGAGAAATCGGAGGTTTATCAGAATGCAAGTGGAGAGCAAATGACTACAGTGCATAGGCCTTGGAGCACCAGGGCCGGTATGGTCTATAGTTTATAGGTGGCCACGACGCCTCCCTCATGCATCGGACCCGGGTTCAATGCCCGGGTGCAGCGGTGTGGCGTGACGTTCTGACCGCAATGCGCTTTGTTTGGTGGCTTGGCATCTCACTATCTTCAAACATGTGCACATGTCAAAGGAAGAAAAGGAAAGAGAACAGGTGTCCAATCTGGTCTCTGGTGGAGGTTCTTTCAGTGAAGTGCGGCATCTTGAGGAAGGAACGAAGCATCGGAGAGACAAAAGCAATGGACTTTGAGTGACATCAGTGCCGGATAACTCTCTTGCCTTACTCTCACACCCATCATTATTACTATTCCACATCCTTCAACCTCCAAGGCAGCGGATACTTGGGACTTTTTCTAAGGCCAGGAGCCCCTAGTAGCGTCCTTGCTCCTAGTAGCGATGCCAGGAGCCCCTATATAGTAGCTTCTTGTTCCTAATGTCATTCAGGCACCTTCGCAAATGTCCCCGGCACCTGCTGGGGCTGCTGTGGGGGCGGAGGCGGCGGTGGAGGTGGATGCTGCGGCTGCGGCTGCTGGGGTTGGGGACCTGGCACTTGCAGTCCCCAACTTCACTGACAACACAAGGCAGCCTTGTGGTGGACCAAGCTAATCTCATCTAGAACATGCAAGGAGGACCTAACTTTAAAGAATTGAGAATTGCGCACAGGAATGTGGTGTAGGTTTACAACCATTCTTTGGGCCCGCAAGTTCCTCACCCATCCACTTCCAATTACAGTAGTTACCAGCACGAGTCAAGCACCTCCACTTTGTCGAAGTGGACGGGTATGGGCTGAAGGCGTGCGTGACGACCAAGCCTCAACCACAAATGCGTGATGCCAGCTTTGCAAAAGCGTGGTTCATCGTGTTTCTAAAATTGTCTAAAGGCCAATCATTACAGGCAAAGTAAACGGTTGATAGAATCGAACGATATCACGATATCGAATGGATAGATAATGTAGGAAAGTGACACTTGGTGGTAAACATGTGTGACAACAGCACTCAGCGTACAGGTGTGACTTGCTTGTTCATGCTGTTGTCCCCAGTGGCAACTCCCACTTGCAGGCCTGTTGAGCTTGTGCAGGGAGGTCTGCGCAAGACCGGAAGGAAGCCAGCTTATATAATTAGAATGCATGCTTTGAAAAAATCCTCTTGACATCATGCATCACTTATGCACGACTGGGCACTGAAACACCATGACCTGAGAATCACATTATGGCGAATTTGGAGGCCATCGCTTCTAGGTTGGAGGCCATTGCTAGCAGGTTGGAGGCCATAGAATCGCATAGAATCACATGATCCTCCTCTCCAATAGCCGGCCTGTTGTGTTGGCACGTTCCGTCGCGAGATGGGCCTCTGACGAGTGGAATGGCACATGAAATAGGTGCGTTTTGGCATGGGGCTTTTGCCTCCCCACTTGGTTTTTCTCCTGAGGATGCTTCAGTAGACAAGATTAAATCTATCAAAGCAATTCATAAAGCTGTCAACTTATTTACTAAATATAGTGAAGTCTTCCACAGCAGTTTCTTGCACCTACAGCCCTGAATGAGTACAAAGTGTAAATTGTTGGCATAAGTTGATGAGCGAACCTCTCTCAAATGAACATCTATACAGTTCTTCCAGATATGTACTAGTAGCTTCTTGTTACTAATATCGATGGCCTCCAACCTACTTGCGATGGCCTCCACCTAATAGCGTCCTTGTTACTAGTAACTGATAGCTTCTTGTTCCTAGTAGCAAGGCCAGGAGATACTAGCAGCGTCCTTGCTCCTAGTAGAGACGCCCTCTGTTACTAGTAGCTTGCTACTAATAGTAATGCCCTTGTTACTAGTAGCGATGCCCTTGTTACTAATACGTAGCGTATCTTCCTTTTTTTCGTCGCATCCCGTTGTGCATCTTCGCCCATCCCGAAGGAGGTGCCCAGTGCCGCGCAGCCTGTGCATCCTCCTCGACGACTCCAAGCCGGTGGTTTGGCTGAGGGCTGCCTCTCTGCTGCCATGAAGCCAAATCACTTCAATGATACAAGGAAGAGAAAGAGAGAGAGAGAGAGAGAAAGGGGGACGGGGGTCGGCATAGAAGCCAAGTTGTGATTGTGGTTTGAAGACTAATGCGCTGCACGTCGTAGCTTAAACAATGTGGGCAACCTCGCCCATCTCTCCGAAATGGCCTCGTTGAAAGCTTGGGCGGGGGCCTCCCTCTGCTGACACAGAGCGCCCCTGCACCACACTTGAATCAAGAAAGCAATAGTTAAACATCAGTCAAGGAGGATGATTGGCGTCCTGGCCGCCTGCACAAACATAGCTGCAAGCCGTGATCTGACTCGCCCCCCCAGAACTGAGAGTTTGGGAAGAACCACATTGAACAAGAACCTATATTCAATATGGGATTGGATGGTTTTTTTGCGTGCATTGGAATGAATAGGGAGACCCTCCCACAATTGGGTTCCAAAACACGCTCGAAACAGTTTGATTGCTGAGTGGCAACGCAAGGAGCTGGCGGGGACCTCAGTCAAAGAAAAGAAATTGGTGGATGGCAGTCTCAAGCAAAAAACCTGCCAATGCAAACGTCCAACAGCATCCAATAGCACCAATCTAGGTTTAACCAACCTCTTGCATAGAGGCTGGAGGTCTTTTTGTTAGATGTGTGCCCAGTCGCACAATTGCCGCCATCGACGTGGCTTTGGCAAAGCTGGGGCCTGGTGTGGCAAGATGCATCACCAGCTTTCTGGTGCATGTACAGCCCAAGATGTTCCTTCGTTCCTCTACCAACTGTTGCGACTTGCAAAACGAAATGCTGCTGATCTCTCGCTGGCCTTCCCATCCTTGCATTTCACGGGGCGAGCCCGATCGCGTCACAGGCGCAGTGTGGATGGCGCCCCCATTTGCTTGGAGGTGAAGTGACCTCTGGAGACTCGGTGCTGGTGCGACTGTGTAACATATACAAACTTTGGTTCTGGGGGGGGAACAGCAACAAACCAGGACCTTGGAAGCCTCACAAAGAAGAATATGTCACGGTTTCACTACAGCGCATTGAACCTGTTGAGTCGAATGCGAAGAAACCGCACACACCGATGTTCACGGGTATTCCGGCATTCCCAGCTTGTCAACGCTTAACCCAGCTTGGCATGGACAGTAGTAACAAGTGCCACGTTACTAGTAACAAGTGCATCGCTATTAGGAACAGGTGCCTTACTAGTAGTAACAAGGTTCGCTACTAGAGCCAAGTTTGCGTTTCAGGATCGTTGCCACCCGAACCACCTAAAGCCGATCAACCAGGATTTCAGCGACCCGAGCTTTCCAAAACTTGAGGGTTGGCTATCTTGGGTCATGGTAGGTTGGCTTTGTCCTATTAGCTTGGAGGCCATCGCCCTTAGGTTAGAGGCTATCGCTATTGGGTTGGAGGCCATTACAATTAGGAGCAAATGCCGGACATCCTGTCTTCACAAGGTGTTCTTTCTAAGATCACCTTGAACTTGGAAGATGCCTCTGCACTGATCGCCTTGGACTCACCTCCGACTGCTTGCTGGCAGTGTGCCCAGATTCCGGCTAGGTGTTTCATCCTTGGATAGTTTCAATTTGTTTTCTTTGGGAAAATCGGCGCTTGAACCTGTATGTTTTTTTGGCCATCAGCCGGAGAATCATTCTGTACTTCAGCAAGCTCAGCGGCAAGATAGTCGTTGCCCGGCTTTTGGAAAGCCCATTCGGTGCGCATGGCGCATGGATCTGATCAGTCGTTCTTTGAGCTGGTGGCCACAGCTTAAAGCACCGCTCCCACAGTTGTCCCAAATTATGGTTCTGAGAATTTGCGTAATGAATTGCAGAATGCCTCCGCAAAAACTTATAAAATCCAATGGTTCGGCTGGCTTTAATACCGGCGACCTCATCTCAAAACCATTGAGATTCTTTTCATGCTTTCCCTCTTGCGCCTGGTTTGGTGGTGTTGCGTTTATGTGATTTGAACAGGTTCATCTTTGAATCTTGTTGTCCACGACAGCTCATCGTCTCCAATCGCTGTTCACAACCTATCCTGATGTTTCATGATGCACAGTGGATTTTTCCTGCTCCTGCAAGCGCAGTTCCAGCTGATGAGAGGGATTGAGATGGTAGCACAGCTGCCAATGAGTGTCACTTAAAGTTTGGGTGTTTAATCGTGTTTTCTTGTTGTTTCTTCTTTTTGAATCGACCGCATTGGACTCACGCAGTCAGCTATTCAAACCATGGGGCGGCCCTCGTTAAGCCAGTTGATTTCTATAAAGTTAAGCGGCCCTGACAGGTCAACATTCAGGTCTGCAGTGGTGAGATACATGGCAAGGCCTTCAAGCAAGGAAGGCCTACCTGTGTGAGCGTATAACTGCTCGCAGGGAATGGACATTAATCAACCAAGGGTACACATTGAGCCAATTGTCCCAGTCGTTGAAACAACACGAGCTGGAATGCAAACTGTCGCTTAAAAACATACAGTAAGTCCTCTCTTGCACCGAAATTGCAGGGACAAAAGCAGCCTTCTATCCCCCACGGGTTGGCAGTCTTGTGACTGACCACCTCCCTACTCGCGCGCTAAAAACAATTGAATACATATATTTGGGTAGCCACCAAAAAGTTTGGGTGCACTTTTTGCACACTTCCAGCGCTGTGTATGTGCACTGGAGAAACTCATTAACTTTTTGGTCAAAAGCTTGCTGGCTATACATACGGACCCTGTGGCCATCCAAAGATCTAGCTTTTCGCCTACCAGCTTGCCACAGGTCTGGTTTAGCAGGGACCTACTTCACCAAACCTTTCTTCACATCAGCGATCTACTTTTGGCAAAGACGTACTTGACCAAAGATACGCTTTATCAAAGACCTAGTTAGTTTGCCAGAGGCTCTAGTTTGCCAGAAATTTACCGACAACTTTTCCAGAGATCTACTTGAGCAGGGCCCTACTTCACCAAATTCTAGTTAATCAAATCATAGTTCTAGCTTACCACCTAAGTTGGTATACATATATATATATACAGCTACCAGAGATCCCGCTTACCGCCTAGCGTACTGGAGGTCTAGTGCTGGGTCTATTTTACCAGGGATCTAGCTTGCCAGAAATCTAGACCAGGACCCTAGTTTACCATTTAGTTTGCCAAAGAGCTAGGTCTTACAGCGGCCTAATTCAGCAAAGCTTTACTTCACTGGAGATGTTGTTTATCAGGGCTTACTATCAGGGGCAGCAAAAACAGCAGCAGCAGTGGCAGCAGCATCAGGGGCAGCAGCAAAGGGCAGCAGCGGCAGCAGCAGCAGCAGCAACAGCCAAATTTCAAGGAGGGAGGGAGGCAGCGTGAGGGTGTACCTCGGTGTGGTTGGCGCCGGGGTGGGAGAGCCGTTTCATGGTCCGACCGGAGGGTTTCCCGTGCTTCAGGGACAAGGGCTGTCAAGTCTCTTTGGCGAGATGCGTGATCAGGAATTAGTCCAAGGCCAAGGTGCATGGGCAGCACGGGATGTGGGTGGCGAGGGTGGGATCCTGGCGGGGTACTACCTGAATGGGATAAAACATCAATGTCTCCAGAAACCAGACTGCGCGATCATCGTGCGGTACATTGTGAAAGCTGTCCCCGTCCGCCTTTTGTTCCAGTGTACTATTGGCATCTGCACCGAGGAAGGAAGGCATGTTACGGGGGCTTACCCAGTGCTTTAGACAGTCCAAACAGTCCACGCAGCTCTTCACTGTGCCCGGAGCGGGGGAGGTAGAAACTGGCAGCAAAAACCTTGCCGGATTCGACATGGTCAGCTATGCACCAAAGATCCCCCCACAAGTATACCTGCGAATGAAGAACGGGCGGGGTCGGGCTTGGGTTAGAGCCGCCGGCTTGGGATGGTTGCTCGGTGTGCTCAAGTTTGCTCACCCTGTGCTCCAGCACATCCATACGAGTTGTGACCTGTCCAAATTCCTGGTGTATTTCATGTTTCTGTGCTTGGAATTGCCCTAAAATAGTTCTCCAACTGGTTATGCTGTTGCGATAGTAAGTCCCTGATGGATTGCATCATGTCGGAGGACTCGGTTCTGGGGCGCTTACTCTCGACATCGGACAGCATGGGTAACTACACCACGTACCAACGATACTGGGAGCCTTGAGCCTTAATACCGTAAGGTCGTCTGGCTTTAGCAGCGACCTACTTCACCACGGCTTTACCGAAGCTTTGTGCTTCTGCTTTGTATGGAGTTTGCTTTGCTTGAGTGCCTTGTAGTAGCCAAGACCCTCCAAATCCTCAGAAGTTCTGAAATTAGGCAGCTTTGGCTAGTCCAAGGCACTAAGCAAAGCAAACCCCCTACAAAACCATCAGTGACAAAGCAACAATATCATATCAGCCAAGAGGATCAAACAGTGGGACTCCCAGGGCGTCCCGTTCTGAAAATGCTTTGACACATGTGGACCAGCATTTATTGAAGCACAATTCTAGGCGAAGAAGTGATGAGACTTTGCCAAAACAGTTTTGCCACACTTTCAAGGGGGAAACCAGCAAACTCCATGCAAAACCACAGCGCGGACGCAACAGCAAACCAATGACCAAGTCAGCACAGAATTAACAGACAATGCTGCCAACTCTTTGAGAGACACAGCTCAAGACCAAGTCATAACCATAGATTTAGATCCAATGGTGCCTTGGGGTTTAGGATAAAACTCTTGGGGCAATTGGCTAAAGGGAAGCTCCAGGAAGCATCATTGTTTGAACGCCAAACAATGCCAACCATGCTGTCGCACAACGATCCCCGGAAGATTCAGAACATGGGCAACCGCTGAACCATGCACCAAACATCATCGCAAAACCCCAATTGAATCCATTTGGCCTGCCCAAATCCCGGACTCAGACTGCAGCGCCTCCGCTGCATCTGCCCGTTCTGTGCCACAGGGTGGTGACCTGCAACACCCATGCTGCCGCCGCTCAAGTCCATGCGCGCCTTGGCTTTGGGCCTCAGGTGTCCATTTAGGACCTCGTGTTGGTGAGGTGAGCGAGAGCTAAGAAAGGGGCTCTTACGGTAGGGGAAAGGAAACTGATGCTTAGCGCTGAAGCGCGCGGCCGTGACCGGCTACTTCGCTGCTATTTACAGCACATTCAAGCTTCTCGAAATCCTCGAAGTGCATTTCGACTGCGCAGGCTCGCAAAGTTTCCAAGTCTGGGGGCCCATGGTGGTTGCTTCTAACGACTGCGCTCTCGTTGTGGTGCCGTGCGCATTTTCGCACATGGTGGTCACTTTTCATGGCAGGCGCAAGGGAAACCTCGTGCTTTGGTGCTTCAAAGTCGACTTTTCGTGACAAGTGCAAAGGATCGGAGCTGTTTTACTTCGAAATGCAATTTTCGTGGCAGGTGCAGCAGCACTTTGGACATGAGGAGCTCGGATTTCGTGACAGGTGCAGTGAATCGTGACTTTTGGACATGTGGCTCGATTGCAGATTTCGTGGCAGGCACAGCATGGGGCCTCCCATCTGGGTCCCTGGGGTGGATGGGGCCCCAGAATAGATTTTCTATTATTCAGGGGTGTCGGACCTAATGCTGGCCAGAAATTATTCCATATGTGAAGAGTTGTCAGGAATAATTTAAAGCAACTTCCAACATGCAGTCTATATGGCATCCTGAGGGAGGCAGTTTCTTTTCATGGCAAACATGTAGTAAAGGCAAGGCCTGCACACCACAAGCTTTACTAGTACTTGCGCTGCTAGAACTAACCCAAAGATACCAACCCCTCACCAAAAGCCTTACTAGTTTTTGCCCTCCTGTATACAATCTCCATAACCACCAGAAATTTTTCCAGGGGTGGTTCAGCTAGAATAATATCACCTCCCCTGTTTGCCTCTATACCTAACCCTGCAAAACCCATCACAAAACCCTTAAACCTCAAGCTTTCCCAACCCAAACCAGAAAACTTAAGTATATACTAGTAATTTTCATTCTGCTCCCTATTTCCTGCGCAAGATAAAACTATTCCAGGGGTGGTTCTGTTCTGGCGGGCGCCTGGCATAATATCACCTGCCTGTCTGTTGCTGGAAGAAACCTTACCAAGCTCTCCAACCCTAGTTACTAGTATTTCTGCTCCTAGGCTCCTAAGACTAACCCAAAATACCAACTGGGGAGCTCCGAGCTTTCCAACCCATCTACAAGGCTACGAGTTCACCGCTTCCACTTTTCGTACGTCTCAGCTCTTTTATCTGTTCCTGCTTGTCAGCTGCTTTTCCGTACTGGGCTACCCCCTGTGTTTAATGGCCATGCACTCAAGAACCTGGAAAACCAGAAAACCTCTAAGGGTGATTCATGGAAACCAATAGACACATGAGGGAGGCAATTTCTGCTTTATTGCAAACATGTAGGAAAGGCAAGGCCTGCACACCACAAGCTTTACTAGTACTTGTGCTGCTAGAACCAACCCAGAAGCCTTACTAGTTTTTTCCCTCCTGTATACAATCTCCATAGCCACCAGAAATTATTCCAGGGGTGGTTCAGTTCTGGTAGAGGCCTAGAATAATATCACCTCTCCTGTGTGCCTCTATACCCTGCCTGCCACTATGCCTCACCCAAAACCCATCACAAAATCCTTAGACCTCAAGCTTTCCCAACCCTTTGACGGGGGAACCCCTTGATTGTAAGTTTTTGAACTTGAGCCAGCTGCCATGGTGAGATATGGTGAGCATGCAAACCAATTCCGACCAAATATTATTCCAGGGTACCGTCACATTCCTACTTTTTTATCCCACGGTACCATCGACCTAAAAAACATTGTTCTGAAAAATTCTTCCTGGAGGTGACCCTACCCTGGAATAATTTACGACGGGAGGGCGCATGGCACAGCACTCTGTGACCCTGGATGTGCAGATTTTGTGGCAGGTGCAGCCGTTTGTGAACCTCGAAGAGCAGTTTTCGTGAAAGGTACAGCACTTTGTGAACCTCGACGTGCAGATTTCATGACAGGCACAGCACTTTGCGAGCCTGTATGTGCAGATTTCGTGGCAGGCACAGCACTTGGTGAACCTTGAAGTGGAGATTTCGTGGCATGCACAGCACTTGGTGAACCTCGAAGTGGAGATTTCGTGGAGGCGAGTACTTTGTGAACCGCGAAGCGCAGGTGCAGCACTTTGTGCTCTCAGATGCTCACTCTCTCACTCACCCTCACTCTCATTCACACTCGCACTCACACTCACACGCACTCACTCTCCTACTCCTACTCTCACTCACACTCACTCTCACCCACACTCACTCTCACTCACGCTCGCACTCACTCACACTCACTCACTCTCCCTCTCCCTCTCCCTCTCCCTCTCACTCTCACTCTCACTCCCACTCACACCCTCACTCACACTCACACTCACACTCACGCTCACTCACTCACCACCGCCACCGTCACCACGATCCCCACCTTCATCACCACCATCACCTCTCTGGACTCCAACGCATCTAGATGTCTACACTCCTCACACACACACACTCACACACTTTGACATTGGTTTTCAGTTAACTCAATTTCCCGATGGGAAGAAAGGCGAAGAACCGCAGGGCGCAAAGGTCAGTGAAAACAGTATGGTTTAACCTTGTTTGCAGTGGCACTCGAAAAGACGATCGGACACTCAGCGCGGCTGCAAGTCGGCTGTAAGGCTGCGGTGGGTTTGGGGGTGGTAGCATGAAGAACCATTGAACCAACGAACAGCGGCAGGGTGGACCATTGGAGTCAGTGTGTTGAGAGCAGGTACAGGAAGGTGATCAGCCTTCCCTTCCCATCCATGACCGCAGCTTCGTTGCACACGGTAGGTCATGGATGCCGTGTGCCCCTGCGTGTAAAATTGTGGTAGTGGTGAACCCTTGGCCCAGGGGTTGACACACACAGATCGCCGTGATCGGCGCCCCTGCTGGAATCAAATAAGGAAAATTCTTAGGTACAGAGTGTGACACACTCCGCCGCTTTGCGGCTCTCTGGCATAAAACGTAAGATAGTCACCTAAAAAGCCTTAGAAACAAAAGAAAGGAAAGACAGAAAGAGCAGCGCTAAGAGGGCAAGAAAGAAAGATAGGTGTAGAAAAAGTGAATACTTAGCCCTTGACTGGGGTAGGGAAACGAGCCTGAAGAACAACCTAAAAAGCCTGAGAGAAAGCCCAACAAACGACGGAAAGCGCAAGAAGAAAAGTGGGGGGGCAGGGAGGGGATGTATGTACATGTGTGTGTGTACATGTGTGTGTCTGACTACCTAGCTCTCTAGAGTTACTGAATACTTAGACGAAAATAATTACGTGCAGTAGTTAGGGAGCGGGACTTTAGTCTTAGACCGCCCGGGTAGAGAAGACTAGAACAGGAACAACACAGGGAAAGGCACCGACACACAAGTGTGTCGAGTACCATTTCCCTATGTTGCCCTAATTAGCTAAAGAGTAGAACTCGGCGGGGGGGGTGGGGAAACCTGCCTGATTGGGGTACCGTTTTAAAGCCCGGCGGCTATGGATTACCGTGGTGAGGCCCGGCGGCCTTGGTAGCAGTTGATTCTGTGGGAGTGTAGGTGAGTTCCAGTGAAGTTCCTGTGAGCGGTGGTGAGTTCAGTGAATGCTTTCCCAATGAAACGGCGCCCCAATGACGGGGATCACACTCAGCACCCGAGTGGGACGGCTGAGCGAAACACACTTTGACATTGGTTTTCAGTTAACTCAATTTCCCGATGGGAAGAAAGGCGAAGAACCGCAGGGCGCAAAGGTCAGTGAAAACAGTATGGTTTAACCTAGTTTGCAGTGGCACTCGAAAAGACGATCGGACACTCAGCGCGGCTGCAAGTCGGCTGTAAGGCTGCGGTGGGTTTGGGGGTGGTAGCATGAAGAACCATTGAACCAACGAACAGCGGCAGGGTGGACCATTGGAGTCAGTGTGTTGAGAGCAGGTACAGGAAGGTGATCAGCCTTCCCTTCCCATCCATGACCGCAGCTTCGTTGCACACGGTAGGTCATGGATGCCGTGTGCCCCTGCGTGTAAAATTGTGGTAGTGGTGAACCCTTGGCCCAGGGGTTGACACACACACACACACACACGCACACTGTTTGGGATCTCTTGCCGTGATAATTTTTGGTCTTGGCTTCCTTCTTACCAAGCAGTCTCGATTGGAGAGTCATATCGTCATGGCCTGCGAATCCCTTATTCTCAGACCGGATCTTTCGGCAAGGTGTCGGTTGCGCCTGCTGACTCTTGCATTTTCCAATGGAAGGGGCATTCGGAAGGCAGCAGACCTTGCTCGCCCCCCGTGCTGATTTGGATCACTGCTATGGCAAATAGCTACCAGGGCTTGAACTAGTGGTTTGATCCGGATGGACGTTGAGAGACTGTTCAGTGCGGCACTGCTCTGCTGTGCTCACTGCTTCGACTGTCCGCGATATAAGTTATACAGTAAGTGTTTCTTCTTGCTGGTGAGGTGGGTGAAGCGGTTGGTCCCATGGTGAAGACACGGAATCCGGAAAGGTGATGCACCTCTCACATCTGAACATCCACACAAGCATCATCTTCAAGCATGTGGGAGGCTGGGAGGGCACGCCTGGACTGAGCAAAACAAGGCATACAAAATGATTGCCAAGCGGCTCAGGCATCGCCGGTCGAATGTTAGGCCGCATGATGAATTCCAGACCCAGAATTGCGCGAAGAGCAGGCGCGGAAGAAAAGAGGCAAAAGCCAGGTGAGGATCAACATGCTGTGGCTCATCCTCTTCAAGGTGAATGTGTTCATTGAAATTGCCTTGCTCCTAGAAGCTTGCATCACGCTTCAACCGTCATATCCAATTCACCTACGGTGGTTCTTCGTTCACTTTGATCTGTTGCACTGTTTCAATTGACATGCTGATGCCTTGAGATCTCAAAGTTCAAGTTGCCTCAATGGGTGACTCTGATCAGTGTGCCAAGTCCAAGTCCCATTCATTCTCTTACAGTACAAACTCTCCCTCTTGTGTGTGTTGTGTGTTTTCTAGGTGTATATATATATAATTATATATATATATATGTGTGTGTGTGTGTCTGTGTCTGTTCGCGCGCGCATGTTATTGAATGCTATACATATCTGTGGGTGTGCGCGCGTACACCTCAAATGCGATGCCCTGCGCCTAATGCCTCGCATCCTCTCAGCTGTCACGCCGAGGAATTTGGTTGACCACCAGCAATGCTGGCTTCTTGATTTAATGTTGACCTCCTATTTGTAAATGGCCCGTGAATATATAATACTAAATCTTTTCGAAAACCAATAATAAATGGCCCTCAAATAATACTAAATGTTTTCTGGACCTTGATTTTCAGCTGCTTCCAGACCTTGATTCATCCAAGCTGATTCTGAGCTTTCAGCTGATTCCAAAACCTGATTATTTTGTGGTGTCCTTTACTCTTGAATTTTGATTTGGCTGCTGCATTTTCCTTTTAAACTTGCTTATTTGGGCATTGCCATTTGTAACCTGAAATCAACCCATCACAAAGACCACCCCCCACGAGCAGCCCAAACCTTCAATTACTCCAG